TATTTCATAGTACTTATATCTATATCATGGCTTTTCCCATAATCAAAGGTGTTTTTCCATGTCATATAAATAAACATTTCCATCATCTTCAGCCATCAATACCAACTTACTGTGTCTGTTCTTCAGTGCAAATCTCCATACCTCTTTCACCGAACTGAAAATGTATAATCCACTTGATCTTAAAGATAAGTAACAACCTTCACCTCTTCCATTTGTGTCTGCCACCCACAATACAACATGAACTTCATAAAAAACCAGATTGCAATCTTTTTGCATAATCAGTTTAAAAATTCCGTTTGGTGATATGATTGTATTACCTTCCATTATGTAATTTCCAAATGCTTGTGATTCTTCAAAAATGGAACTCATAATGCTTGAACTATATACCTAGCAATCAACATCACCATCATATACAAATTGACTCTGTAAGTTCAAAGGAGAAGGAAAGGTTTTATTTTGGATTGATGAAGGAATTCGATATCTTGAACGTTTGGAATATTCCAGTGATACATGTCTAAAAGTTCCAATTACAGTTCCAAAGTTTCTTATAGAACCATCTTGAATAACAGCAGCTGCAAGACCCATAAGAAGTCCTTTAATTAGATCACCCCAAACATACCCTAGGACACGATAAGCACGACAAACACGACAGTTCCATGGGCATCCTAATGATTGTGAAAAAATTGAAAATGTATATTGTATAGTTGTTAGCGGAACTGTGTTCGACCAACTACCAACACGTTGAGGACCATCTGGTATAGTTTGAATTACAGAATCAACGTGTTGACGAAATGATTCAATGCCTTCAACACTGATCCCTAATGGATCTGCAACATAATTAATGGTTTGACAATAGAAAATATATCATTATTACAAAGGAAAATATTGTGATTATTTTCACTTCAAACAAATTATCAATATAATTAATATCCAGCCTAACCCTCTATGTATATACAAACGTTGATGACAAGAAAATTCATATGCTGGGAGCATAGTCGATTTCTTAGCCATCAAGAAGTGACGGAGTCTGAGATTTGAGCTTTGTTCAACCTGAAATAAAGGTTCTGATCTGAAAAAACACATTCATCTTATTTTTGTCCTGTATTTGTTTCAAATATTTGACTCAGCTAGTCCATCTGATTTGTTTTATACTTTTGTTAAAACCTAAATTATAACAATAAGCTAAATTAATAATAACTTTAATGAGAATTAAAGGCACTAACTGCAGCTACAAAAAACTAGCCTAAACAAACTCGTGTTCGCTGTTGGAACGAGTGCTAATACGTATGTGTCATCGCAGCCCCATTGCAGCTCAAAATCCCATGCTCTTGAGCGACCAATCCCTATTCGCTTCTTCTTCCTTGCACAATCCTGCCTGCTGCTTCTGAATTTGAATGCGAAGGAGATGAAGCTAGCAGCAGCTAACAAGTGAGGAGGCACTCATCGCAACGCCCTGCAGTGTGCCTTGGCACTTCTTAACAAAGTACTTGTTTATGAGGTCTTTGGTTTGATGCGGAGTCTCGTTAGTTAAGAGGTTTAGCTAGAGAGATACATTTAGAAGCAAAACAAATTACATTCTGCAAAATGTTAATCGATCTCAAAAGTTTGCCACATGGAATATTTCACCGAATCCGGAGCGTTTATCCCCAAAATGGATGTAAAACAATCCACTGTCACCATAGCTCTCACCGTGTGAATTTAGCAAAGTCCATAGCCGCTCCTTCCACTTGAAGCCGACAACAAGAAGACAATGCTTGAACTCTTGCTCGTAGTCTCCAACATACACGTAGTTGTTATCCAAACTGTCTCGTCCCCAATCACGGCACTTCACAGCAGTTACTGCAGGCCCACGGTGAGTCAACCAGCTGGCAAACGCAAGGATCGCAGACTCATCAACAAGATTACCAATGTCCACTCCCATATTGGCCACCCTTTTGAGCCGAAACTTCTCAGGGTCCCCATACAACCACTTGTCATAAGCGATCTCCAACCTCGACCGGTTACGTGCCTGATACTGCCGGTAGTTTGCAGCCCTGGGAACTCCAACGTTGGTAAGGAAGTCCAAGCAAGCTCCGGGAGATCCGCCCTCACAAGAAACTGTAAAGCCAATGGAGCCGAGGAACTTAGTCTTCAAGCTGTCTTTAGCCTCAAAGCCTGGCTCACAAAAGTCATTACAAAACTGGATGCTTAACAACTCATTATGCCCTGCGATTTTTATCAGACTTTCCATCAGGCCAATCGAACAAATCACCCAACAATCCCGCAGCCCCAATGTAGTTTTCCAGTTGATAGATGGCGCTGCAACTGCCACGTCAACCGATGAGTCAGCCACCAGAAGCATGAGACTAATGGATCCAAAAATGCAAGTTGGATTATCATTTTTGCATCAGTGGTGTCCTTGTTGTTGTGGTGATTCCGCTCACTGGCCTTGCCTTCTTCTTTTCTGCGGCCATTCAAGGTCTCTGATTATGGTTGCCTTCATTGCATGTGTGATGCCATCACAACTCCATGTATTTCAGGTAATTGGCGAGGGATGAGGTTGTCTCCTTGATTGCGAGGATTATATGTGTTTCCTGTCCTAGTCGATCTGGGGCAAGATTTGTACTTTGAGCCCTTACTTTTTACTGCTCACACCCTATTTAGCATGGAGCTCAGCTACGTCAAGGATCCCACATTACAAAAAGCTGGCTGCCCATAAACAAATGCGAAAAAGAAAAATAAAGTCTGACAGTATTTTGCTTCAGTAACCCAATTTAGCTAAGAGACACAAAAAGGCAAATTACACCTAAAACATCTATGCAATTTCCCTCTAGTCCCAGCTAAAGTGGTTGCCATTCAAATGTTCTAGCACTATTAAATTTAGTGATCTATCCACTGTGAAAAATGCACAAAAGAAACATAAATATTCTATAGTGCAAAGAGCTTGCAAACCAAATTGATCAAGACCTTTCAACTTGTCTCGGTTTCCAAATATGATGATCAGACATAAAGCCCTAGACTTGTGTGCTGTCACATTTTTCTATTTCCCCACATGTCCAATAACAGTTTCAGATTCTCATTAGCAGATTTATTTTTTTAGAAAAAATAAATATTTTATAGAAAATTAAATATAAAATATTAATGGATATTTCCTAATTATCCATAAGCTCTATATTATTTTATAACTTACATATGTTATTATACTTACACTATAGTTAAATCAAATATAATTTAAACATATACATATATATACATATACATATATACATATATACAATTAAACTTAGTTTTAGTTTAGGGAATACGTAATAAAAATATTGGGGAGAAAATAATACTTTAAATTACCAAGAAATGAATGAAATATTTAGATCAGGCTTTCATGAAATTTTGATGTGTATTAATACATCTATTGAATATAATTCAAATGATATCTATTATGATTTTCAAGCAATAGATTTTGGTAGAGGCTCTAATAGTAAAGGATAAAATGGTATATTTCATGGTTATCAAATAAGAGATAGTTTAAAACATTTAATATGTTTAGAAAACATATGTATATTGCAGGTTCTAGTTTATTTAGTGTTACTGGTCTACATTATTCCTTTGCATATAATGCTTTTTATTGGTGGAATAATTCAACAACTTTAAATTCTTTACAAGAAAAAATTAGATATATTGAATCAAATAACCTAAATTGCTACATAAAATTAACAACTTTATATGGTGGATTTCCTAATAATTTTCTCATGACAGATTCTTTACTTGTATCTCCAAATGGTAAAAATATTTTATTATTAAGATCAAATTGTAAACTTGAGCTTTATTCTGGAAAAATCTCTATATGAGTATCCCCAAATAAAGAAGAATATTATAGTTTATGTAAGCTAATACTTCAAATTGATGGAAATTTAGTTTTATATAATGAAAAGAAAAAGGTAGTCTGGTCCATTAATAAATATTGTAAGCATTCATATTGTTTACAAATTACATATTTAACTATACAAGATGATTGTAATATTGTTATATACAATGGAAGGGTACCAAATTATCCTTGGTGGGATTCAAAAACTTATAAACATCCATATTGTATAAATAATTATAGATTTATTTTAAATTTATAATAATAATAATAATCATTATGATAAGATTTATTAATATTTAATTTTAAGCTTATAGGGAAATGACTAATAGGGAAAAAAGGAAAACTATTCTTAGTATCCCTATTGCCAAATCTTATTACCCATTCCTTATATGAGAACCTACTATAACTTGTATTCATGCCTCACCTAAAATAAGCAACTTCAAAATTAGTATTGAGGTCAATTAAATATTCTTAGTTGGAATAGGATGATATATTACATTTTTTATGTAAAATAAAAAATTGAATTTAAAAAGGTTAATATACTCCTTTTGGAGCTAATTAACAGTCATATCATCATGATGAACTAAAAGTATTTATCTACATAGAGAAGTAGAGTTAAAATAAACATGATAGAGTGACTCACTCTATTCAGTGTTTCATTGTCTTTTTAACTTCTGATGCAGAAATGTTTAAGCTGTCTGGTTGTTGGAGAAGCTCCTCTAGCACCCAGATCAAGCTCCATTGAAACACCTCTGCCACTTTCAAGCGGATATGGCCCTGCAGCTCCGGCGTACTGATTCCCAGCCTGGAGATACGCGATGACGGGATCCTCGGAATTTCGCATTTGTCCTGTCTCTCGCCAAGTCTGGTGTTGGGCTTTAGCTGCCATGGTGGTTGTGGGGAATTTTTATGGATACATAGACTACCGCCAACATCTTGGTTGCTCTTGACCACCTTAAGCTGCCACTGCCAGTAGAGTTTGCACGGGACATGGAGCGTGATCGAGCAAGAATGGGAGATCAAGCTTGGCAGACAGGAAGATCATCGTCAAGGCCATCGTCCAGAGAGGTCTGGAAATCATCTCGAGGTGAGCAGGCGCTCATCGCAGGAGCCGCATCGCATGCGATTCTTCAGTTTGAATTTAAGTTTTGCTAAAATATACTACGAAATTCTAGGTATATCCACTATCGTTAGACCTTTACTTATTTTTCTGGAGAGAATCTCTTGGACTCTTGCAGCTTTCCCTCGCTCTCCTAGGACGCTGTAAACATTAGAAAGCAGCACATAAGGCCCAGCTTCGTCACAGCCCGGCATGTCAATTATCAAATCACCAATGCTCGAGGCTCTAGTGAGATCGCCATGTATGCAACAGGCATTCAAGAGTGCCGTCCAGCTGCTAGAATCCGGCAAAAACGGCATGCACTTGATCAATTCCTGTGCAGCTTCCAACCTCCCAGATCGGCCCAGCAGATCGATCAAGCACCCAAAATGCTCGCAGATTGGATCAATCATGAAGTCCACTTGCATCGAGAGAAAGTAGCCTCGAGCGGTCTCCACAAGCCCCGCGTGGCTGCAAGCTGATATGGCGGCCACAAACGTCACGGCATCCGGTATGAAACCCTGCTGCTGCATGAGCCCAAAGCACGTCAAGGCTGACATGTTATGCCCATTCTGGGCATATGCCGTTATCATGGCGCTCCAGGCTTTGTGCGCATGCCATGAAAGATCGTGGTAGCCTCGGATATGTTGCCACATTTCCCGTAGACGTTTACAAGCCCAGTGGCGACGCTCACGTCGGAGAGGAATCCACTCTCGAGGATCATCGCGTGGAGAGCTCTCGTCTCTCGCAGCGATGAAATCCCTAAGAGGGCTTCCAGTGCACCAACAAAGGTGAAGTTATTCGCATGAAAGCCATCCAAGTTGAGAGTTCTGTAAAGCAGCCATGCGTCGCTGTAGTGGCCATTTTGGGCAAATGCGAGAATCATCGTGTTCCATGACACGATGTTCTTCTCTTGCATCTTGTCAAAGATACACTTTGCTTGCTCCAGCTTGAGAACCTGGGCATATCCCAGCATCATTGTGTTGTTTGAGACAACATCCCGGTCTGGCATTGTCGAAAGCATCTTCTCGGCGTCATCTATGAGCCCGTTTTGGACGTTCATGGTTATCATCAGGTTGAAAGAGACTGTATTTTTTTCCTTCATTTGTGAGAACATCCTCTTGGCTGCCTCAAGATGCCCGTTTTGAGTATACGCATAGAGCATAGAGTTGCATAGCATGACATCGTGTTGATCCGCATTGTCAAACACAAGTTTGGCGCTGTCCAGATTCTGGCACCTCGCCATTGCCACTAATGCGGTAGCAATCGCAACTTGGTGTGTAAACTCCATTTCCTCGACAATTGAGAGGACCATTCTTCCCAGATCGGTGTTTCCGATGTTAGAACAGCAAGAAGTGTCACTCGGTTTGGACGAAGTCCCTCGACATCCATTCTCATCAGCAGCTTGATGGAATTCTCTCCACGCCCGTTTTGGGCATTTGCAAAGATGATGGTGTTCCAAGATATCAGATTCGGCAGCGGCATTCGATGGAACAAGTCCGTGGCTTCCTCCAAATCCCCGCTCTGGCCAAACGCCGCAATCAGCGTGTTCCACGTAGAAGCGTTTTGCATGGGCATAAAATCAAACATTGCTCCTGCTTCATAAATCCGTCCACCCTGCACGAAAGCCGCCAACATTGCATTCCACGTAACATCGTTTCGCTGTGGCGCCCGTTCAAATATTTCTCTCGCTTCTTCAAGATGCCCATTCTGGGCATATGCTGCAACCATTGTCGTCCACGACACGACATTCTTTTGCGGCATTTTGTCAAAGATCTCAGTGGCTTTCTCGACCCGACCAAACTTCCCGTACATGCTAACGCAGGCAGTGGCCACGGAGACATGCGCCATGAGGCCCAAATCAACGACATCATCATGGAGCTGTCGCCCCGTCACCTGGCAGCCGACAGTGGAACAGCAATTTATGCTGCTGATGAATGTTATGTTGTCGAGCTGAAGGCCCTCCAAATCCATGTTTCTGAGCATCTCAAGATCCTCGTAACAATACCCAGCTTGGGCATATGCTGTGATCATCGCGTTCCATGAAATCCTATCCTTTTCGGGAATTTCATCGAAGATTTCTTTCGCTAGCGAGACTTCCCCGGTGGATGCATAAGAGTAAATCATGGCAGTCCACGACACATCTGTTCTTCCAGGCATCAGATCAAAGAGATTCCTTGCGCCGTAAAGATGCCCGTTTTGGGCAAGTGCGCCAAGCATGATGTTGTATGAGAAAACGTTCCTGGGACGAATTCTCGCAAAGAGACTCCTTGCTTCGTCCAATCCACCGCAAGCGCCAAACATCCTCACGGCTAGATTGTTGAGGACCAGCTCTGAGTTGTATCGATCGCGTAGGATCAAGGCATGGATCCGCCGTGCCGCGGCGAGGCATCTGGCGGCGCTGCATTGAGCTAGGAGCGAGCTGTAGAGGGTGAAATCTCCTCGGATCTCGCGGATTTTTGGATTTTTGGTCGAGGGATTTTTGGAGCTGGGTCTTTGCGAGATCTGGCACCGATTGATCCTTGGAAGAGAGGTGGATCCCGAGAGAAGGAAATCGTTGCTGCGGGTTTCTCTTCTTCTTCGAGCCAAGAACAAGGATCATTCAAAGGATTCGTTGAAACTTTGACTCTAACACGTGGCAGTTTGACTGTGAGATGTGGACTTAAGATGAAGCCTAGCGGAAGAACAACACCGCGGCTATGGCGATCCAGCTCTACAGCCTTGCCACTCCAAATGGCAGGAAGGTATTGATCACAGCCAAGGATTTTCTCTTGTTTGATCGGAGTTTGATCTAAACGATCAGGTGAGCATTGCGCTCGAAGAAATGGGGCTTGACTACGAGCCGCACACAATTAACATCCGAAACAACGAGCAGTTCCATCCGGACTTCGTTGCCATCAATCCCAACTCCAAAATCCCCGCAATCGTCGATCCAAATGGCCCAGGTTTGCTGCTCTTTTGATCGCTTGTCTTTTCGATCTTTCTAATTTGGATTCGCTATCCAGATGGAAAACCCATGAATGTCTTCGAGAGTGGAGCGATTCTTCTCTATCTGGCGGAGAAGACGGGCAAGTTCATCTCGCAAGATCCCAGGCTAAAGTGGGAGACAATCCAGTGGGTCTTCTTCCAAATGGCAGGCGTTGGCCCAATGTCCGGCCAGGTTAGAGAAACTTGTGAATTCCTAGATTTCATGGATCATCGTTGTGTTCTTCGTTGATGCATGGGTTTTGTTCTCGTATCTTGGTGTTCTTGGTGTTCTTGGCCTTGTTTATCTTGTTTGGGATTTTGTTCTTCATGTTCTTGAGCTCTCATTTGTTTCTTTCTTTCATTAGTTTGGGCACTTCTACTTCCATGCCAGGGATAAGTGCGATCATCCATACCCCCTGGAGCGTTACTCCACCGAGGTGAAGCGCCTGATGGGAGTGCTGGAGAAGCGGCTTGAAGGGCGAGAGTTTTTGATAGATGGCGGCTACTCCATCGCAGACATGGCCACTTTCCCATGGATCTACTGTATCGAGGTTTCCTACAAGGGGGCGGAGGTCATAGGCCTCGAGAACTTCCCAAACGTCATGGCTTGGAAGGAGCGTTGCATGGAACGCCCGGCCACTGCCAAAGGTATGAAAGTGTGTAAGTTCTAAATAGTAACTAGAATAATTTGAAGGTGTTCTGTTTAATACTAAGAATTTAATCAATAATTGTCCAATACTAAAGTATGTTAAATAATATTCAGTAAGTACTAACTCCCATATTGCTAAAACTGATGCAAATCATCATGCCAGCCATTGCCCTACGTGATTTTTAGTTTGCATATGTCTACCATCTTTAATAATGGAGTTGGATAACAGAGGAAAAGCTCCTGTCGAGATATGTTTTTCTTCCACAAAAAGGAAGAACAATAAATCTGGCCTATCGCAATTGGAGCAAAGGATCTCAAGCAAGCAATAAAAGTGTTTACTGTGCCACCTCTAAATCAAAAAGGAAATATTAAAAATCTCAACTCAAAGCTAAGGAAGAAAAAGGAAAATCGGGTCCATATGCTGTTTTGATAATCTTGTGGTGCCCAATTGGAAGCATGAGATTGATGGATGCAAAAATGTAAGTTGGATTATCATTTTGTATTAGTGGTGTCTTCGTTGTTGCTGCGATTCCACTCATTGGCCTTGCCTTCTTCTTTTCCACGGCCATTTGTGTATTTCCTGTCACAACTCCATATATTTCAGGTAATTGGCGAGGGATGAGATTGTCTCCTTGATTGCAAAGATTATATGTGTTTCATGTCCTGGGAGTGGCTAAATCTAACAGCCTAATTTAACGAAATTTTCTTCCCGCCAATTACAATTAAGCTAGAGAATTTAATTGTAAAAATTCTTATAATTAAGTTCATTAAGTGTAAGGAGGGTATGTTTTTACCCTTGTATGATCTTCAGGGATCTTCTGCTCTTATCTGGAAGAGTGATTCGAATTCTCGCGAAAGATTTGAATATCGGCTGCGGCGGACGGGAAGATCTATGTTGCGACGAGAACAGGAACGCGCTCAAGAGCTGCAAGAGACTCGATCCAGCTCGCAACGAGTGGGAGGCTATGGCGGATTTAGGTCAAGAACGCAGGGGAATCGTGATGAATTGCAGCCAGTTTGCGGTTATGAGCGGATAGAACGGATTCGCAAGGCGAGTTCAGTTCCAGCTCCGAAAGTTTTGACGGTGATTCCTCATGGCAGATTGGCAAGGGATCTGCAAGCGGGGCAGTGTATTGCTTCCCTGTCACTAGGAAGATCATCTCTGCTTGCCTTGGTAGTGAGCGATTGCAGCAGGAGATTGTTGCTGTGGTTCAAGATCAAGGCGGGGAGTGTGTTACAAGCCGGATTGTAAAGATTCCTGAAATCTACTTAACTTGGTTAGGCAATTAGTCCCATTAATCTAATATTTAACTTAATAGTAAGTGAGACTCCTCATTAGTCAAATCATAACTGTTTCCTAGTTTAAAGCTAACGAGTGATCAGGTAATTTAATGAACGAGTGGGAAGACACTATAAATTAATTAGTTAAATTAGACTAATGGTGGATAGTTTAGGTCCTAAAGCAGGTTAAGCATTTAAATAATACTGCAAATTAGCATGTTCCTCTTAAAAAATAGAATATGCTAATCGTCACTAGGGTTCATCTAGTGATTTGCTCACAGCTAGCATCTTCTTTGAAATTGAGAACCCAGGAAATTGTAAGAGATCCTGCTTGTCTGAACTTAATAATGTGATCAAGTTTATTTATACAGTAAAACAACAACTGAGCTGGATTTCCTCCCAGAGTCCCATTGGCGGCTTTGCTGTGCCTGAATGGGAATCTACTGCACAAAGAGTGTGATTTATTCCTATGATTAATATTGAGCACTACAGATTGAGCGGCGAGGAAGAAGAAACTGAAGATCATGACGATCTTACTAACAATTTCATCCATAAATAATTATTGATGATTTTCATGCATTCATCAGAAAAATAAAAAAAGAGGATCGCTTTCACTCCATTTTAGGTATATATATAATTTTATTGGACCCTAGTGATATCAAAGACTATGTGGCGATGGCTAGTGCAGGTAAGAGTTAGGATCTAATAGATCCTTGCTTAAACAATAACCTTGCTTATCTTTGGAAAGAGGTGAGATAGGATCATGATGCTCATCACTGGCATGCTCAACCATGTCATCACCATGGGTTGCAGACTTGTTCCCACAGATCTCATGCTGCTACTGATGAAACCATCTAGTTTGCATCGCCAAGAGGGCAGTGCCAACTTGGCACGATTATGGGCCCCGACGTGTTATTGCCTGGGTGCGACAAGTGGAGATAATTTTGAAGTACAAAAACACCGGCACTCAAGTATGAAACTGGACGATTCCGTTTCTAATTTTCCGAAGAATGTTTTTTTTCGTGGTGGACAATTCGTCCACTCGCAGACTTTTTTGAGTTAGGCCAGGATCGATTCACACTTCAAACTTAAATCACCAACTTAAAAGCATATACTCACAGCATAGACCATTTCTGATCGATAAACCTAACAGGTCTTCTTTTAAGTCTTTTTTTATTTGCCCTTGTATTTGCTACCCCTTAACCTTATACATATTGTTTTTTCTTTGTGAATTTGCCCAATGAATAAACGAACTGCAGAACTTTGCCGAGTGATGAATTTTGCCGAACTGCAGAACTTCACTGCTGCAGTGCACTATCTAGTCAAATCCTAAGAGTAGGCATCCATTTGGGAATAGGGGGAGCTGTAATTTCAAGATTTCAAGCTTACGTTTTACAAAATGATTTGTTTTGTGTGCTTTTATATGAGCAGCGCAAGACTATCAAAACAGCATACAGATAGATTAAAGCCAAAAAACAAACCAGCACAAACCTTGTATCACGTCTCTTGCACTAGAGGAACTAGTATAAATTCCCCCACTCCATTTCTTCGGTTGCGGGACTCCTCCCTTCGGAGCTTAAAGTAGAAACTAAAGGCGGGATCAAACAGAGTCCAAAAGGTTCTATCATATCCAATCAGTAATGCACAGCTTGGGATGCGATCAAGGTCATACATCCCGCCGTAAAGCGGCTGTGGATTATATCCCAGTTTTCGAACCAGGGATGCATCTTCCATCCACACCAAGCTGCGACGATCTGTGCATCGAATGCTTGTCACCACCGGATGCTTGGCAACCATTTCCAAAAGCAACGCTTCACTGGCCTTGTGGATCCTCACTATGGATCCCGGCATACCTTCCAAAGCTGCCCTTTCCTCATCCAAAACTATTAACTCTGAGCTGGTTGAGGATGATATTTTGGATACGAGCAATCTTTCACCAATCTTGGCCTGAATGGCTGCACAGAGCAAGATTGAGTCCAGCCAAGAGACATTGCTCATCTCGACGGCCGAAAAGCAAGTTTGGACGAGGTCGCTCCAGTCGACCCTGCTGCTTGAAATGAAGTCGCCACCACTAACAATTCTCACCTGATCCATGCGCTTTACCCGCGAGAGAAACTCTTCCTCGTCGCGCCACTTAGAGCCGCGGATATTCACCCTCTCCGGGAGTATGACACCCGCTTTTGGCCGTGACGAAAACACTCCCATACTGCGCTATTAGGGATTAGGGATTAACCATTTAAAAGCCCTAACCCTAAATTTGTCCTGCTGCCTCGTCATCGTCGGCCGTGTTTTAGACTAGGAATTGCAGAGCGCGGAGGCGCTCTACGAGTAGCGCCGGCGGCCGCTGATGCAGATCTTGCGTCGGTAGGCTTGGTAGGCGCCTCGTTAGGCGATGTGGTGGCTGACTCATTAGGTGACGTGGCGCCTGCTCGCCAGGCGACGTAGTTGGGCACCAGCATATAGATAGATAAAATAGAATACTTTCCAGATTTTCCTTTTTCTTCTCTTAGCTTGAGATTTCTTATATTTCCTTCTAGGTTTGGAGGTGCCACACTAAACAGTTAAATTCTTATCATAGAACACCTTTAAATTATTCTAGTTATACACACTATTTAGAACTTACACACTTTCATACCTTTGGCAGTGGCCGGGCGTTCCATGCAACGCTCCTTCCAAGCCATGACGCTTGGGAAGTTCTCGAGGCCTATGACCTCCGCCCCCTTGTAGAAAACCTCGATACAGTAGATCCATGGGAAGGTGGCCATGTCCGCGATGGAGTAGCCGCCATCTATCAAAAACTCTCGCCCTTCGAGCCGCTTCTCCAGCACTCCCATCAGGCGCTTCACCTCGGTGGAGTAACGCTCCAGGGGGTATGGATGATCGCACTTATCCTTGGCATAGACGTAGAAGTGCCCAAACTAATGAAAGAAAGAAACAAATGAGAGCTCAAGAACATGAAGAACAAAATCCCAAACAAGATAAACAAGGCCAAGAACACCAAGAACACCAAGATACAAGAACAAAACCCATGCATCAACGAAGAACACAACGATGATCCATGAAATCTAGGAATTCACAAGTTTCTCTAACCTGGCCGGCCATTGGGCCAACGCCTGCCATTTGGAAGAAGACCCACTGGATTGTCTCCCACTTGAGCCTGGGATCTTGCGAGATGAACTTGCCCGTCTTCTCCGCCAGATAGAGAAGAATCGCTCCACTCTCGAAGACATTCATGGGTTTTCCATCTGGATAGCGAATCCAAATTAGAAAGATCGAAAAGACAAGCGATCAAAAGAGCAGCAAACCTGGGCCATTTGGATCGACGATTGCGGGGATTTTGGAGTTGGGATTGATGGCAACGAAGTCCGGATGGAACTGCTCGTTGTTTCGGATGTTAAATGTGTGCGGCTCGTAGTCAAGCCCCATTTCTTCGAGCGCAATGCTCACCTGATCGTTTAGATCAAACTCCGATCAAACAAGAGAAAATCCTTGGCTGTGATCAATACCTTCATGCCATTTGGAGTGGCAAGGCTGTAGAGCTGGATCGCCATAGCCGCGATGTGGTTCTTCCCCTAGGGTTTATCTTACATCCTTGACTTTTATCCACGTGGCGCGCACCTCACGGTCAAACTGCCACGTGTTAGAGTAAAAGTTTCACAACGAATCTTTTGAATGATCTTTGTTCTTGGCTCGAAGAAGAAGAGAAACCCACCGCAACGATTTCCTTCTCTCGGGATCCATCTCTCTTCCAAGGATCAATCGGTGCCAGATCTCGCAAAGACCCAGCTCCAAAAATCCCTCGACCAGCTCGAGAGCCGCGAGATCCGAGGAGATTTCACCCTCTACAGCTCGCTCTTAGCTCAATGCAGCGCCGCCAGATGCCTCGCCGCGGCACGGCGGATCCATGCCTTGATCCTACGCGATCGATACAACTCAGAGCTGGTCATCAACAATATAGCCGTGAGGATGTTTGGCGCTTGCGGTGGATTGGACGAAGCAAGGAGTCTCTTCGCGAGAATTCGTCCCAGGAACGTTTTCTCGTACAACATCATGCTTGGCGCACTTTCCCAAAACGGGCATATTTACGACGCAAGGAATCTCTTTGATCTGATGCCTGGAAGAACAGATGTGTCGTGGACTACCATGATTTCCTCTTATACATCCACCGGGGAAGTCTCTCAAGCGAAAGAAATCTTCGATGAAATTCCCGAAAAGGATAGGATTTCATGGAACGCGATGATCACAGCATATGCCCAAGCTGGGTATTGTTACGAGGCCCTTGAGATGCTCAGAAACATGGATTTGGAGGGCCTCCAGCCCGACAACATAACATTCATCAGCAGCATAAATTGCTGTTCCACTGTCGGCTGCCAGGTGACGGGGCGACAGCTCCATGATGATGTCGTTGATTTGGGCCTCATGGCGCATGTCTCCGTGGCCACTGCCTGCGTTAGCATGTACGGGAAGTTTGGTCGGGTCGAGAAAGCCACTGAGATCTTTGACAAAATCCCGCAAAGGAATGTCGTGTCGTGGACGACAATGGTTGCAGCATATGCCCAGAATGGGCATCTTGAAGAAGCGAGAGAAATATTCGAGCGGGCGTCTCAACGAAACGATGTTACGTGGAATGCGATGCTGGCGGCTTTTGTGCAGGGTGGACAGCTCTATAACGCAAGAGTAATGTTTGATTGTATGCCCATGCAGAACGCTTCTACGTGGAACACGCTGATTGCGGCGTTTGGCCAGAGAGGGGATTTGGAGGAAGCCACGGACTTGTTCCATCGAATGCCGCTGCCGAATCTGATATCTTGGAACACCATCATCTTTGCAAATGCCCATAACGGGCGTGGAGAGAATTCCATCAAGCTGCTGATGAGACAATGTTTGCGAGGTGCCAGAATCTGGACAGCGCCAAACTTGTGTTTGACAATGCGGATCAACACGATGTCATGCTATGCAACTCTATGCTCTATGCGTATACTCAAAACGGGCATCTTGAGGCAGCCAAGAGGATGTTCTCACAAATGAAGGAAAAAAATACAGTCTCTTTCAACCTGATGATAACCATGAACGTCCAAAACGGGCTCATAGATGACGCCGAGAAGATGCTTTCGACAATGCCAGACCGGGATGTTGTCTCAAACAACACAATGATGCTGGGCTATGCCCAGGTTCTCAAGCTGGAGCAAGCAAAGTGTATCTTTGACAAGATGCAAGAGAAGAACATCGTGTCATGGAACACGATGATTCTCGCATTTGCCCAAAATGGCCACTACAGCGACGCATGGCTGCTTTACAGAACTCTCAACTTGGATGGCTTTCATGCGAATAACTTCACCTTTGTTGGTGCACTGGAAGCCCTCTTAGGGATTTCATCGCTGCAAGAGACGAGAGCTCTCCACGCGATGATCCTCGAGAGTGGATTCCTCTCCGACGTGAGCGTCGCCACTGGGCTTGTGAACGTCTACGGAAAATGTGGCAACATATCCGAGGCTACCAGGATCTTTCATGGCATGCCCTGGTATCCTGGAGCGCCATGGTAACGGCATATGCCCAGAATGGGCATAACATGTCAGCCTTGACGTGCTTTGGGCTCATGCAGCAGCAGGGTTTCGTACCGGATGCCGTGACGTTTGTGGCCGCCATATCAGCTTGCAGCCACGCGGGGCTTGTGGAGGCCGCTCGAGGCTACTTTCTCTCGATGCAAGTGGACTTCATGATTGATCCAATCTGCGAGCATTTTGGGTGCTTGATTGATCTGCTGGGCCGTTCTGGGAAGCTGGAATCTACGCAGGAGTTGATCAAGTGCATGCCGTTTTTGCCGGATTCTCGCAGCTGGACGGCACTCTTGAATGCCTGTTGCATACATGGCGATCTCACTAGAGCCTCGAGCATTGGTGATTTGATAATTGAGATGCCGGGATGTGACGAAGCTGGGCCTTATGTGCTGCTTTCTAATGTTTACAGCGTCCTAGGAGAGCGAGGGAAAGCTTCAAGAGTCCAAGAGATTCTGTCCAGAAAAATAAATAAAGGTCTAATGATAGTGGATATACCTAGAATCTCGTAGTATATTCAATAAATTGCTATGCGTTGCATGTAGCTACGCTTAGTTTGCTTTAATACTAGTGTTATTATTACTTATTAATCCAATTGATCAAATCAAGTTTATAATTATAAGCATGTTTGTAATTTATATATACAAGATTAATTTTATTGCATATCAACTGTTAGATGGTAGAATAAAAAAGAATATACTAGAAAAGGTTTAAGAAAGTTTATAAATTATAAACATGTTTATAAATTATAAATACAAGATTAATCTAAATGAATAACAACCGTTAGATGGTAAAATATCCTAGAATATTCAAGAATATTCTAAATATATCCACTACCATCCCAGTTCCCTATAAATTTGCTTAAGCAAACCAAAAATAGTTAGACAAGTTTTCTTTTTAGCAAAACTTCCTTCAAACTAAATTCAAACTGAAGAATCGCAATGCGATGCAGCTCCTGCGATGAGCGCCTGCTCACCTCGAGATGATTTCCAGACCTCTCTGGACGATGGCCTTGACGATGATTTTCCTGTCTGCCAAGCTTGATCTCCCATTCTTTCTCGATCACGCTCCATGCTGCGTCCTTGTCCCGTGCAAATTCCACTAGAAGTTTCATGTAAGCCAGTGGCAGTGGGAGCTTAAGGTACCAAGACGTTGGCGGTAGTCTATGTATCCATAAAAATTCCCCATAACCACCATGGCAACTAGACGTGGCGAGAGACAGGACAAATGCGAAATTCCGAGGATCCCGTCATCACGTATCTCCAGGCTGGGAATCGGTGCTAGAGGAGCTTCTCCAGCAACTGCCTCGAACAGACAGCTTAAACATTAATAAGGGCGTCCTCCACATCAGAAGTTAAAAAGACAATGAAACACTGAATAGAGGGAGTTGACATTACCGGAATTTATGATGGATCCTCGACCATCTGGGACTTTTTATTATAGGATTTAAATCATTATCACATCACGATCTTGTATAAGAGTTTCATCAAGGAAAACGATGCAATCAGGGCCTCTTTCCCAAAATATTGCAAGAGAAACACCAAAACGATCATCAAGAACAGTTTCATGAAGAAATTCCATGCAGTCTGGGCTCCTTTTCCCAACATTTGCAAGAGAAACACTGACACGATCGCCAACAACTTCATCAGCTCCAACAGCAACACAAAGAACACCTTCCGGATTTCCAAGACGGCAATTTCCATGAAAACCCTTGAGAGTCAGAGGGTTTATATGCAAGAGAACAACCTTTTCGCCACCTTTTTCCATACAAAAACCTTAATGAATCTTCCTGGACAATCCATGTGCATCCAGGTGGCAGTGAAGCTTGAAACCTCAGATCTCACCTAAACGCAAAATCGATCAGTAACCTCCTTGGCAAGAGCCCTTTCAAACGCCTTCTTGATAACTAATGTGTTTAGCATCATAAAGTTTATTTGCTTCATATAAAAGATAGATAGAATTACTAATTCTGTATGTATCTTGCAATAGTTTCCCTGATTGTGAGGCCTAATTACTCCAAATCAAATATTCTGCAACTGACAAGCAACAACGGAGGATCATTTGGATGATGTAAATTAGACCTTATTATTATTTTTGTGAGGGTCTAGAGCTTTTGTTACAAATGTGTGTTTCTATTTAGGCTAATTATGAATGCAAGACCTTCACTGAGAAGATGTATTTATAACATGGCGCCGCACTTCACAATACAGCATCCAGGGAGTGCAATGCTGCGCTTTGAAAACCATAGGTTTAATTGTGCCGTGAAAAATCACTTTGTCTAATGGTGACTGACATGAAACGAAGTACTTCATGCTTGACTGAGCGCATGAATCTATCCACATGTTTATAGGCCTATCTTATCTTCAGTGACCAACGATGAGGACTTTGGGCAAGCACAGTGCGCTCACGTGATCGACCAACGCCAGAGATTACGAGTGAGACTTACAGTCTGGATGTTTAGCCAGGGGTGCAATGGCGCATTTTGAAAGAAAACGAAACAAAATATCAATCCCTCGATTTGTATCGTTACCGCCTTGTTCGGATATTCTATGGCATATTTTTTAACCACCCTTGCTTTTTAAAGGAAGAGCCCTAAAGGCACTTTATTCATTTTAGAGGAAGAGCCCTAAAGGCACTTTATTTCCTTTAACATAAGGATTCATTATTTTAAAGGAAGAACCCTAAAGGCGCTTTCCTTACATTTGTCTCAGGGTTTTGGCTATGGTGCTCCACACCGCGGTGATGCTCCGCCTCGCCCACGTGCCAAGGGCGGCACCGATTCTTTCACACCATTCCTTCCCTAGGATGTGTTGCGCTCGGATCCGCTGACAATGCTTGCTTCGATGCTCCTCCAGCGGGCACACGGCATTCCCTCCGCGGCGATCTCCACCATAGCTCCTGTCCGGATTGGAGATCTAGAGCCGGAATCGCGCGCGGTGGGGCGTGTTCTTCATGGATTTCTGGCCGCGGACGCGCTCATGATCGACGGCAGCGTCCAGGTACTCACAATGCTCGAGGATTCCAGCGGTGAATCGGTGCTGCTCGCGATCAAGCATCCGGTGGTGAGCAATGCCTCGGAGGTGGAGGTCCGGGCGAAATTTCCTCGGGGGTCAAGGAGCCGACGCTGGTGCGGCCGCTGGACGATATGGGCGCGATCACGGCGATGGTCTCGGGGTTTCTCGGCGATTCAGGGCTGGATCCGAGGTCCTACTGGTCCATCGCGCTTGACAATCCCGCGAACGTCGAGGTGCTCTCTTTCCTTGGCGAGGATTTCCTCCATGGACTTCAAGGTATGGGCCCCGCGAGGATCAGGATGGAAGGGAACAAGCTCTTCAAAGACGAGAGCTTTGAGGCTGCTGCTCAAGCCTATGGCTAGTGGCGCCGGCCAGGACGATCGCCAGAATCGGGTTCTAGCTCTCTCCAACCAAGCCGAGTGCTACCTCAAGCTGGGGTGATTTGAGGCTTGCGTCAGTGCTGCCAGTGCCGCTCTTGAGATGGATCCCAGCCATCTCAAGAGTGTGTATCGCAAGGCGTTGGTTTTGCTCAAGCTTCATCTCTACGACTGGTCGTGCCAGCTCTTGAGAGATTTCGCTGGGACAGACCAAACCATCGACCAGCTATTCGAAAAGTCCCAGAAACTTGCCAGGCAAAGCCGGGACAGCAGCAGCGTCGCTCAGGAGATTTCCAACTCTTGTTGCCCGTGGAGCGATTCCAACAGCGAGACCAAAGCGCCAGAGCTTGCCGATTACGTTGGCCCGGTGTGAAGATGTGTGAAGACCCGGCTTGCGACCGAGACGCTGCTGCTCGGCTGCTTGAGATGGCCATGAAATCTCCACGGGTATACAAGCAGCTTCTCAGCCTCGTTTGCGAGGTGGCGGGCGACGAGCGAGAAGTCCCCGGCATGGAAACCTTCCGGCCGAACTGGACAACTGCCGAGGATTGGCCGATTTGCAGCACTGACAGCAGCGGCAGAGAAGCACTAGAAGGCATTGAAGTGAAGCGAACCTTTGAGATCGTCACCAAGGCATCCTACCATCCGAGCTCCTCGCGCGGCTTCGTCTACCTCGCAACATGGATCCTGCCGACCATTCCTGCGTTCCAAACGTCTGCAAAACGGACCTTGGAAAGGTGACCTGCTAGGTCGCGGCCCGAGATATCGATGCTGGAGAAGAGCTCGTTCTCTGCTACATCAATGGTGGCCATCCTTACAGGCGCAAGAGGCTGGGTTTCGCGTGCGACTGCAAGAAGTGCTACCTGGAGACGCTGCTGGACAAGGATCTCGCGGAGGTGAACGGCTACTACAGGGACTTCGCCGAGGCAAACTTCGAGTTCAGGCTCAAGGGGGAGGCCGACCCGATCGAGATGGCGAAGACGCTGGAGACAGTTCTCGCGAGCAGGCTCAAGGACGAGGAGGAGCGACAGTGCTTGCGAGCGATTCACTGGTCGCTCTCCTTCTATTACCAGAGGCTGCAGAGTGGGGAGGCGGTGGTGGTGCCTGACGTCCCGGCGGCGGAGGTGGTGATGGAGGCCATGGAAAGGTTCACGACGGCCAGCGACGCAAATCTGGCATACATGATTTCTCTGGCGAAGTTTGCACGGGACAAGGACGCGGCAAGGAGCGTGATGGAAAGAGCGTGGGAGAGCAGGCTTGGGAGACAGGAGGATCATCGCATTGTCGAGGCTTTTGTCGAGAGAGGTCTCGAGATTCTTGGAGCTTGGGGGTGGGCTTGAGTTTCCCGTTTCTTCTTTTTCTTAATATGTTTAGGGAGGAGGTGAAAGTTTGGGATTTAAGGGGTTTTATGATGTTGTACCACAAATTTAAAGGCTTTGTGTGTTTAATTGTTTGGGCATATGGGGATTAAAAGAGAATTTAAGAATTTGTGAAGAGTGAATTTGTTATAAATAGCTAAACCTAAATAGGATTAAGCAAGAGTTGTATAAAAAATATGCCATCCGAACAAGGCGGTAACGATACAAATCGAGGGATTGATATTTTGTTTCGTTTTCTTTCAAAATGCGCCATTGCACCCCTGGCTAAACATCCAGACTGTGAAGGACCACCTATTAGACGTGTGCCGTCAAGTGTTCAAGGGGAGCGTGAGATTCGCAACATACCACACAGGTCTAAATCCACAAGCTAAAGGTCGTTTCTCCAGTGGAGTGGCACTGGATGCTTGAAGCGGCAGCTCTTGAAAGTACTACAACTCGGCTGTAAGTCTCACTCGTAATCTCTCGCGTTTTTATCACGTTGGAGCGCACTGTGCTTGCCCAACGTCCTCATCGTCAAGAAAGTAACAAGGTGGCGAATGGTCGCTGAAGATAAGATAGGCCTATAAACATGTAACTGCTTTGGGATAGATTTATGCGCTCAATCAAGCATGAAGTACTCTGTTTCATGTCAGTCACCATTATACAAAGTGATTTTTCACGGCACAATTAAACCTATGGTTTTCAAAGCGTAAGAACGTTGTCAGCATTGCACTCCCTGGATGCTGTATTGTGAAGTGCGGCGCCATGTTATAAATACTTCTTCTCAGTGAATCGACAAAGGTCTTGCATCCATAATTAGCCTAAATAGAAACACACATTAACAAAAGCTCTCCCTCACAAAAATAATAATAAGGTCTAATTTACATCATCCAGATGAACAGCATCCTCCTTTGTTGCTTGTCAGTTACAGAATATTTGATTTGGAGTAATTAGGCCTCACAATCAGGGAAACTATTGCAAGATACATATAGAATTAGTAATTCTATCCATCTTTTATATGAAGCAAATCAACTTTATAGAAACGCATTAGAAGCTCCACATGCTAAACACATTAGTTATCAAGAAGGCGTTTGAAAAGGCTCTTGCCAAGGCGAGAGCGGAGCAACTTGCCAGGGATTGCAAATTCATCCAGGTTACTGATCGATTTTGCGTTTAGGTGAGATCTGAGGTTTCAAGCTTCACTGCCACCTGGATGCAGATTGTCCAGGAAGATTCATTAAGGTTTTTGTATGGAAAATGGTGGCGAAAAGGTTGTTCTCTTGTATATAAACCCTCTGACTCTCAAGGATTTTCAGGGAAATGGGTGCCGTCTTGGAAATCCGGAAGATGTTCTTTGTGTTCCTGTTGGAGCTGATGAAGTTGTTGGCGATCGTGTCAGTGTTTCTCTTGCAAATGTTGGGGAAAGGAGCCCGGACTGCATGGAATTTCTTCATGAAACTGTTCTTGATGATCGTGTTGGTGTTTCTCTTGCAATATTTTGGGAAAGAGGCCCTGATTGCATCGTTTTCCTTGATGAAACTCTTATACAAGATCCTGATGTGATAATGATTTAAATCCTATAATAAAAAGTCCTAGAGCAATTCTGCATATTCAAGGGAGTAAGTTATATGTTGGCTCGCCATGTCCAGATGTGGTCGAGGATCCATCATAAATGTCAACTCACTCTATTCAGTGTTTCATTGTCTTTTTAACTTCTGATGCGGAAATGTTTAAGCTGTCTGGTTGCTGGAGAAGCTCCTCTAGCACCCGGATCAAGCTCCATTGAAACACCTCTGCAACTTTCAAGCGGATATGACCCTGCAGCTCCGGCATACTGATTCCCAGCCTGGAGATACGCGATGACGGGATCCTCGGAATTTCGCATTTGTCCTGTCTCTCGCTGTTGGGCATGGTGGTTATGGGGAATTTTTATGGATACATAGACTACCGCCAACGTCTTGGTTGCTCTTGACCACCTTAAGCTCCCACTGCCACTGGCTTACATGAAACTTCTAGTGGAGTTTGCACGGGACAAGGACGCAGCATGGAGCGTGATCGAGCAAGAATGGGAGATCAAGCTTGGCAGACAGGAAGATCATCGTCCAGAGAGGTCTGGAAATCATCTCCAGGTGAGCAGGTGCTCATCGCAGGAGCTGCATCGCATTGCGATTCTTCAGTTTGAATTTAAGTTTTGCCAAAAAGAAAACTTGTGTAACTATTTTTGACTAATAAAAATATACTACGAAATTCTACACTATCATTAGACCTTTATTTATTTTTCTGGAGAGAATCTCTTGGACTCTTGCAGCTTTCCCTCGCTCTCCTAGGACGCTGTAAACATTAGAAAGCAGCACATAAGGCCCAGCTTCGTCACATCCCGGCATCTCAATTATCAAATCACCAATGCTCGAGGCTCTAGTGAGATCGCCATGTATGCAACAGGCATTCAAGAGTGCCGTCCAGCTGCTAGAATCCGGCAAAAACGGCATGCACTTGATCAACTCCTGCGCAGATTCCAGCTTCCCAGATCGGCCCAGCAGATCGATCAAGCACCCAAAATGCTCGCAGATTGGATCAATCATGAAGTCCACTTGCATCGAGAGAAAGTAGCCTCGAGCGGCCTCCACAAGCCCCGCGTGGCTGCAAGCTGATATGGCGGCCACAAACGTCACGGCATCCGGTACGAAACCCTGCTGCTGCATGAGCCCAAAGCACGTCAAGGCTGACATGTTATGCCCATTCTGGGCATATGCCGTTATCATGGCGCTCCAGGATACCATGCTCTTTGTGGGCATGCCATGAAAGATCCTGGTAGCCTCGGATATGTTGCCACATTTTCCGTAGACGTTCACAAGCCCAGTGGCGACGCTCACGTCGGAGAGGAATCCACTCTCGAGGATCATCGCGTGGAGAGCTCTCGTCTCTCGCAGCGATGAAATCCCTAAGAGGGCTTCCAGTGCACCAACAAAGGTGAAGTTATTCGCATGAAAGCCATCCAAGTTGAGAGTTCTGTAAAGCAGCCATGCGTCGCTGTAGTGGCCATTTTGGGCAAATGCGAGAATCATCGTGTTCCATGACACGATGTTCTTCTCTTGCATCTTGTCAAAGATACACTTTGCTTGCTCCAGCTTGAGAACCTGGGCATAGCCCAGCATCATTGTGTTGTTTGAGACAACATCCCGGTCTGGCATTGTCGAAAGCATCTTCTCGGCGTCATCTATGAGCCCGTTTTGGACGTTCATGGTTATCATCAGGTTGAAAGAGACTGTATTTTTTTCCTTCATTTGTGAGAACATCCTCTTGGCTGCCTCAAGATGCCCGTTTTGAGTATACGCATAGAGCATAGAGTTGCATAGCATGACATCGTGTTGATCCGCATTGTCAAACACAAGTTTGGCGCTGTCCAGATTCTGGCACCTCGCAAACATTGCCACTAATGCGGTAGCAATCGCAACTTGGTGTGTAAACTCCATTTCCTCGACAATTGAGAGGACCATTCTTCCCAGATCGGTGTTTCCGATGTTAGAACAGGCATCAATGACCGCAAGAAGTGTCACTCGGTTTGGACGAAGTCCCTCGACATCCATTCTCATCAGCAGCTTGATGGAATTCTCTCCACGCCCGTTTTGGGCATTTGCAAAGATGATGGTGTTCCAAGATATCAGATTCGGCAGCGGCATTCGATGGAACAAGTCCGTGGCTTCCTCCAAATCCCCTCTCTGGCCAAACGCCGCAATCAGCGTGTTCCACGTAGAAGCGTTCTGCATGGGCATATAATCAAACATTACTCTTGCGTTATAGAGCTGTCCACCCTGCACAAAAGCCGCCAGCATCGCATTCCACGTAACATCGTTTCGTTGAGACGCCCGGTCGAATATTTCTCTCGCTTCTTCAAGATGCCCATTCTGGGCATATGCTGCAACCATTGTCGTCCACGACACGACATTCCTTTGCGGCATTTTGTCAAAGATCTCAGTGGCTTTCTCGAGCCGACCAAACTTCCCGTACATGCTAACGCAGGCAGTGGCCACGGAGACATGCGCCATGAGGCCCAAATCAACGACATCATCATGGAGCTGTCGCCCCGTCACCTGGCAGCCGACAGTGGAACAGCAATTTATGCTGCTGATGAATGTTATGTTGTCGGGCTGGAGGCCCTCCAAATCCATGTTTCTGAGCATCTCAAGGGCCTCGTAACAATACCCAGCTTGGGCATATGCTGTGATCATCGCGTTCCATGAAATCCTATCCTTTTCGGGAATTTCATCGAAGATTTCTTTCGCTAGCGAGACTTCCCCGGTGGATGCATAAGAGGAAATCATTGCAGTCCACGACACATCTGTTCTTCCAGGCATCAGATCAAAGAGATTCCTTGCGTCGTAAAGATGCCGGTTTTGGGCAAGTGCGCCAAGCATGATGTTGTACGAGAAAACGTTCCTGGGACGAATTCTCGCGAAGAGACTCCTTGCTTCGTCCAATCCACCGCAAGCGCCAAACATCCTCACGACTAGATTGTTGATGACCAGCTCTGAGTTGTATCGATCGCGTAGGATCAAGGCATGGATCCGCCGTGCCGCGGCGAGGCATCTGGCGGCGCTGCATTGAGCTAGGAGCGAGCTGTAGAGGGTGAAATCTCCTCGGACCTCGCGGCTCTCGAGCTGGTCGAGGGATTTTTGGAGCTGGGTCTTTGCGAGATCTGGCACCGATTGATCCTTGGAAGAGAGATGGATCCCGAGAGAAGGAAATCGTTGCTGCGGGTTTCTCTTCTTCGAGCCAAGAACAAGGATCATTCAAAGGTTCCGTTGAAACTTTGACTCTAACACGTGGCAGTTTGACTGTGAGATGTGGACTAAAAATCAAGGATTTAAGATGAACCCTAGCGGAAGAACAACACCGCGACTATGGCGATCCAGCTCTACAGCCTTGCCACTCCAAATGGCATTAAGGTATTGATCACAGCCAAGGATTTTCTCTTGTTTGATCGGAGTTTGATCTAAACGATCAGGTGAGCATTGCGCTCGAAGAAATGGGGCTTGACTACGAGCCGCACACAATTAACATCCGAAACAACGAGCAGTTCCATCCGGACTTCGTTGCCATCAATCCCAACTCCAAAATCCCCGCAATCGTCGATCCAAATGGCCCAGGTTTGCTGCTCTTTTGATCGCTTGTCTTTTCGATCTTTCTAATTTGGATTCGCTATCCAGATGGAAAACCCATGAATGTCTTCGAGAGTGGAGCGATTCTTCTCTATCTGGCGGAGAAGACGGGCAAGTTCATCTCGCAAGATCCCAGGCTCAAGTGGGAGACAATCCAGTGGGTCTTCTTCCAAATGGCAGGCGTTGGCCCAATGGCCGGCCAGGTTAGAGAAACTTGTGAATTCCTAGATTTCATGGATCATCGTTGTGTTCTTCGTTGATGCATGGGTTTTGTTCTTGGATCTTGGTGTTCTTGGTGTTCTTGGCCTTGTTTATCTTGTTTGGGATTTTGTTCTTCATGTTCTTGAGCTCTCATTTGTTTCTTTCTTTCGTTAGTTTGGGCACTTCTACGTCTATGCCAAGGATAAGTGCGATCATCCATACCCCCTGGAGCGTTACTCCACCGAGGTGAAGCGCCTGATGGGAGTGCTGGAGAAGCGGCTTGATGGGCGAGAGTTTTTGATAGATGGCGGCTACTCCATCGCGGACATGGCCACTTTCCCATGGATCTACTGTATCGAGGTTTATTACAAGGGGGCGGAGGTCATAGGCCTCGAGAACTTCCCAAACGTCATGGCTTGGAAGGAGCGTTGCATGGAACGCCCGGCCACTGCCAAAGGTATGAAAGTGTGTAAGTTCTAAGTAGTGTGTAAAATATAACTAGAATAATTTAAAGGTGTTCTATGATAAGAATTTAATGACCCAAACCTAAAAGGAAATATAAGAAATCTCAAGCTAAGATCTATATGCTGTTCAAGCTAAGATTTTATCTATCTATATGCTGTTTTGATAGTCTTGTGGTGCCCAACTGGAAGCATGAGACTAATGGATCGAAAAATGCAAGTTGAATTATCATTTTTGCATCAGTGGTGTCCTTGTTGTTGTGGTGATTCTGCTCACTGGCCTTGCCTTCTTCTTTTTTGCGGCCATTCAAGGTCTCTGATTATGGTTGCCTTATACATGTATTTGCCATCAGAACTCCATGCATTTCAGGTAATTGGCGAGGGATGAGGTTGTCTCCTTGATTGCGAGGTTTATATGTGTTTCCTGTCCTAGTTGATGTCTGGGGCAAGATTTGCACTTTGAGCCCTTACTTTTTACTGCTCACACCCTATTTAGCATGGAGCTCCACTGCATCAAGGATCCCACATTACAAAATAAAGCTGGCTGCCCATAAACAAATGCGAAAAAGAAAAATAAAGTCTAATGGTATTTTGCTTCACACAAAGTAACCCATTTAGCTAAGAGACACAAAAAGGCAAATTACACCTAAAAAATCTATGCAATTTCCCTCTAGTCCCAGCTAAAGTGGTTGCCATTCAAATGTTCTAGCACAATTAAATCTAGTGATCTATCTATAGTGCAAAGAGCTTGCAAACCAAATTGATCAAGACCTTTCAACTTGTCTCAGTTTTCAAATAAGATGATCAGACATAAAGCCCTAGATTCGTGTCCTGTCACATTTTTCTATTTCCCCACATGTCCAATAACAGTTTCAGATTCTCATTAGCAGATTTCTTTTAAAAATAAATAAATAAATAAATAAATAAATAAATATATTATAGAAAATTAAATATAAAATATTAATGGATATTTCTAAACTATTCATAAGCTCTATAGGATTGGCCTGCTCGATGTCATGCCGAACCTCATAAACTTGTGGTCCAACTTGCTGCAACACCCGATACAGTCCTTTCCACTGTGCAATAAGCCCCTTAAATAAACCATGTACCGTAAGATGGGAAAAATAGACTATCCACTTTATACTCTGTTGGTGGACGATGATAAGAGTTATACCGCCATTGTTGTCCCACTTGTATGCGGCCTAAGTGTTTGGCAAATTCTGCTCGGACAAGTGGAAGAATGCTCATCAAATACTAATCCCCATGATCTAGCATCCACAACTCGTGGCAATTGCGAAGGTAAACCCAGCTCCGTTGGTAATATTGGATCATGACCATATAAGAGTTTATATGGTGAAGGACCAACAGAACTCTGCACCCCTGTGATATATACATACCGAAGAGACGACAAATAACCATCCCAATCCGAATGCTGAAAGTTCACATACTTCATAATCATCCCCTTGAATGTTTGAACGAGCCGTTTCACCAGACCGTCTGATTATGGATGATAATCACTCGTGAAAGTGTGGCGTATCCCCAACCGAGACATCAAGACATGAAATGCCTTAGCCATAAATGCGGGATTATTATCCGAAAGAATTCGCTCTGGACAAGAATGCTGAAACACCACTCGATTGAGGAGGAAGTATCTAACAGCAGTTGCAGAGGCACTAGCAAGAGCACCAACTTCCACCCAACGAGTCAAGTAGTCAGAAGCAATAATAACATACTCATTGCCAGCAGTTGATTGTGGAAAATGTCCCATAAGATCAAACGTCACCAACTCAAATGGACGGGAAACTGCAATTGACTCCAACCGTCCTTCTGCAGCCTGAGGGGGAGTATTACGAGTTTGGCTCCAAACGCAGCTACGCACATACCGGATAATATCATGTCGCATCTCCGGCCAATAGAAAGACCTGCACAACTTCTCGGTTATACGACAATGTCCCATATGCCCATCTAGAATAGGAGAATCATGGTAGGCATGGAGAAACCGTGGAATAAAGATAGAAGGCACCACCAGCCATAAATGATTATCAGGATCTGTCCACATAAAATAAAGAAAGCCATCTTCAAGGCGATATTGAGAATGTAAATGCCAGAAAGGCAAGTCATTAGCAAGTGATGCAGGATTCTCAAACCCATTTCGAAGCCTTCGAATCCATGGCTCAATCTTTTGAACCTCGCGAGCCTCATCAAGAGAAGGTAGATCTTGCTCTGCACCTTGTGGACACTGAATGTCAAGTACAGCAACCGCCGACAGCACAGAATCCTGGTCTAGAAAATCCACAGAGGCTGGAACAACAAGCTCATCAGAAACATGAGAAGAGAATGGAGAAGGAAGAGGAGATTGAGAAAGAGCATCAGCATCAGTCATAGAACTCCCTGGGCGATAAACAACATCAAAATTATATATCTGAAGCTTCAAAACCCATTGAGCAGTACGACTAACCAAGTTCTTCCACTTCAATAATGAAGTAACAACAACATGATCACCTTCAAGTAACGTTCGAGAACCATGTAGATATGCATGAAGTTTCTCAAAACCGCAAACTGCTGCTAAACACTCATTCTCTATCGTGGAGTAGTTCATTTCCGTTGGTTGTAATGTACGGTTTATATACGCAATGGGATGGCATTGACCAGGCACACTCGAGCTCCCTTGCATCAACACACCTCCAAGGCCAATGTTAGAAGCATCGACGCGCAAAATAAAAGGTCGAGTGTAGTCAGGATATGCCAAAACCAGAGGAGTCGTCAACAGGTTTTTGAGATCCCCAAACACCCGCTCACAATCCAGAGACTAGATGAAAGATGATGTTGATGACTTCAGCAATGCTCGCAACGGTGCAGTGCAATTAGAAAGATGATCCACAAAATGACCGAGATACTTCACCTTGCCCAAGAAGCGCTGCACATCATTCACACACTTTGGAGTAGGGAACTTTAGAATAGCCACAAGTTTGTTAGGATCAACTTGCAAACCCTCACAAGAAATATGGTATCCAAGATAAGTTGTATCCTTAGACCCAAACACGCATTTCGACTACTTCAATTTTAAACCAACGTCGCGTAGTCAATCCAACACTTTACAAACATCACAAACGTGCTCCTCCCACATCCCCTCCGAGTGAATCAAAACATCATCAATGAAGTCAGCAGTCACCTCCGGCATATTGCAAAAAACCTTGTCCATCATCCACTGGAAAGTTGCTAGAGCATTGTTCAAACCAAACGGCATACTAAGAACTTGTATAAACCAAATGGTGTACGAAAAGCAGTCTTAGGAATATCTTCTTTGGCCATCGGTACTTGCCAGTACCCAAAAACAAGATCTAGCTTGGTGAACCAACGACTTCGGCCCAGACGATCTAAGACATCAGCAGTGTGAGGAAGAGGGTACACATCTGGGATCGTCACTTCGTTTAATGGACGATACTCAATGCAGAAACGAATACTCCCATCAAGCTTCGTCACAAGATGAGGTTCACATGCCCAATGACTCTGTGACTTCTGAATAACACCCTTCTCCAACATCTCCTTGGCATTTGCACGTAAAATCTAGATTTCCTTGGGTGACCGACGACGAACAAGAACCTTGATTGGACGAGCATCCCCGGTTGGAATTGGATGACATGTGGCAATCTTGGCTCCAGACGAGAGGTCAAATTCAAAGAGATCAGAATACTCCTTCATGAGCTGATCCACCATTGCAACACAACGATTGTCGAAGGGATCGGAAAAGAGAAGAGCAGAACAAGATGGAAACATAGGAGGAAATAATGGGGGAATAAAAGTAATGGAAGCGGATGTAGAAATAGAGGGACAAAGAGGTACAGAAGTGAGAGGAATGAATGAAACATAAGGAAGTATGAGACAAAGGGGAGAAGCTTCAAAATCACACTTGGCATGATTACGCTACAACCAATCCATACCAAGAATGAGGTCAAAAGTTTGACTCGGCACCACGTGCAATGATTGCAACTCAAGCTCGAGATCGCCCACATGCACAACCAGGTCCACCTCATCCCGTGCACATGCATGTGTACGGCCGTTGCCATAAAAACTGGTTTGAAAACTAGTTTTGCCGCAGGACGCAAGTGTAAACGGCAATGTGTGGCAACAGGTTGAGCAATAGAAGATAAACTCAAACCTGTATCAACCAAAATGGAGAAAATAATAGGAGACCTCTTGTTATAAAAACAAGCTTGGAAAGTAAACATTGGATGAACTGGTGCCGAGTGAACCCCTTGATGATACTCCCGAAAGAAAGATGGAGGGGTCACTGACTTATTCGCGCAAGGTCCCTCCGTTACTCGCACGACTCCTCATTTTTCAAATGTATCTCGGTGTCCAAACCATCCACTGCAGCAGCGCCAACGGGATGTTGCTGACACCAAGGTCGCCACCTAGGAAATGGAGGTCGCTAATCCGGAAACCGCCGACAACTCCGATAAGTATGACCAACTTCATCACACGCCCAACAGTGAACATCATAGCCATGACCTCATCCTCGACCTTATCCTTGGACGCGAGCAGCAGCAGCATCAACCTCCATTGGAACAGGACCATCACCCATAGGAAGGGGAGCTGAAGGACAGGCAGCAAGAAGTGGAAGATGCGACGTCTCATAACGTTGTGCCAAGCGAAGAGCGTCATCAAGGGTGGCGGGAGCAAGTGCATGCACAAGTTCGACAAGATCTTGACAAAGTGCTGGCCACAACATTCCTAGCTTGATCCGTTCTGACATATTTGGCTCCGCACGAAGCAAAAGACTTCGGAAACAAACGCCAAATTGCATCACCGACTCAGACGGCCCTTGGCGAAGACGATGCAATTGTTGGAAGGCATCATCACAGCCGTCAGCATATCCGAAGGCGTGTTTGAAGATGTCCAAAAGAACACTCCAATCCCCACGAGTGGCCGTGCTCAGACCATTGTACCATTGCAATGCCATCCCTTGGAGACACGTGGGAAACTCACACAAACATCGAGCATCATCCCAAGAATGATATGTGGCAATCACTGTGAAGTGATCGAACCAATGGTACATATCATCCCCAAGATTCCCGCAAAAAAACTCCGGCCGAACGCGAGGATTAGCACCAAGAGCAGGAGGAGTTGTACCACGTGCTGTGAACGCTGCCATCAACTGAGTTTGGTTGTTCAATTGCAAGCACATAGCATCAAGCAATTGTACCAACTACTGCTCCAAAGTCAAAGGAGGAGATTGCTGATCTGCCATAAAGACGGATGAAGAAAGAGCAAAAAAAGAGAAATGACAAAAAGTTAGAAGAAAATGGTAGATCTAGACAATGCAAAAAGTTAAATCTAAACCAAAATCCCAAATCTAAGCACTCCTCAGGGACAATCAAAGGTGCCCCTCACCTCCACTAATGTGAGTGTTTAGAATATGGAAAGGGAATACAGAAATGTGCATATCAATTAACCCAAACATCCTAGTTTATATACAGGATCGAGTGGTCCAGATTGAAACCAATCCGACGGCTACCAAAATCCCATTACAGTAATATTAGTATACGGCATTGTAGCTGTACACTTGGCCCTCACACCTTCAAATTGATGGAAATTTAGTTTTATATAATGAAAAGAAAAAGGTAGTGTGGTCCATTAATAAATATTGTAAGCATTTATATTGTTTACAAATTACATATTTAACTATACAAGATGATTGTGATATTGTTACATACAATGAAAGGGTACCAAATTATCCTTGGTGGGATTCAAAAATTTATAAACATCCATATTGTATAAATAATTAATAGATTTATTTTAAATTTATAATAATAATAATGATTATGATAGGATTTATTAATATTTAATTTTAAGCTTATAGGGAAGAGACTAATAGGGAAAAAGGGAAAAATAATCTTAGTATCCCTATTGCCATATCTTATTACCCATTCCTTATATGAGAACCTTAATTGATTATACTATAACTTGTATTCATGCCTCACCTAAAATAAGCAACTTCAAAACTAGTATTGAGGTCAATTAAACATCCTTAGTTGGAATAGGATGATATATTACATTTTTTATGTAATATAAAAAATTGAAATTAAAAAGGTTAATATACTCCTTTCTGAGCTAATTAACAATGATGAACTAGAAGAGTTTATCTACATTAAAAAATGATAAGAAATAGAGTTAAAATAAACATGATAGAGTGAGTCTAGGGCATGATGAGGTTATAAATTGTAATGTATATAATTATAGAATGAGGTTTGGATATACTATCATTGTTGATGTTTAAAATTTTAGGGGATAAATGAGGATAAAATAACCACTAATAGCTTTCTTATTAAATAATTACCCTTTTTCTAATTTACTTTGTTTATTCGACCATATTTATTTTAACTTTAATTAAGTTTCATTACCAAAGTTCACATACCTTGCTTTTTAAAAGAAGAACCCTAATGGCACTTTATTCATTTTAAAGGAAGAGCCCTAAAGGCACTTTATTTCTTTTAACATAAGGATTCATTATTTTAAAGGAAAAACCATAAAGGCGCTTTCCTTACATTTGGCGCGCGACCGCAATGGTGCTCCACACCGCGGTGATGCTCTTCCTCGTCCACGTGCCTAGGGCGATTCCTCTGGGCCGCGGCGACACCGATTCTTTCACGCCATTCCTTCCCTAGGACGTGTTGCGCTCGGATCCGCTGACAATGCTTGCTTCGATGCTCCTCCAGCGGGCACAAGGAGATCACGGCATTCCCTCCGCGGCGATCTCCACCCTAGCTCCTGTCCGGATTGGAGATCTAGAGCCGGAATCGCGTGCGACGGGGCGTGTTCTTCATGGATTTCTGGCCGCGGACGCGCTCATGATCGACGGCAGCGTCACGGACGATATGGGCGCGATCACGGCGATGGTCTCGGGGTTTCCGGCGATTCAGGGCTGGATCCCAGGTCCTACTGGTCCATCGCGCTTGACAATCCCGCGAACGTCGAGGTGCTCTCTTTCCTTGGCGAGGATTTCCTCCATGGACTTCAAGGTATGAGCCCCGCGAGGATCAGGATGGAAGGGAACAAGCTCTTCAAAGACGAGAGCTTTGAGGCTGCTGCTCAAGCCTATGGCTAGTGGCGCCGGCCAGGACGATCGCCAGAATCGGGTTCTAGCTCTGTTTGCGTCAACGCTGCCAGTGCCGCTCTTGAAATGGATCCCAGCCTTCTCAAGAGTGTGTATCGCGAGGCGTTGGCTTTGCTCAAGCTCCATCTCTACGACTGGTCGTGCCAGCTCTTGAGAGATTTCGGGCAGATCAATTCATCGACCAGCTATTCGAGAAGTCCCAGAAACTTGCCAGGCAAAGCCGGGACAGCAGCAGCGTTGCTCAGGAGATTTCCAACTCTTTTCGCCCTTGGAGCGATTCCAACAGCGAGATCAAAGCGCCAGAGCTTGCCGATTACGTTGGCCCGGTGGAGGTGAAGATGTGTGAAGACAAGAGCACGAGGCGTGGCCGCGGGCTGTTTGCGACGAGAAAGATCAACCGAGGCGAGGTCGTGCTCGTGAGCAACGCGATCATCTTCGAGCAGGGTGAAAACAAGTCGGCTTGCGACCGAGACGCTGCTGCTCGGCTGCTTGAGATGGCCATGAAATCTTCACGGGTATACAAGCAGCTTCTCAGCCTCGTTTGCGAGGTGGCGGGCGACGAGCGAGAAGTCCCCGGCATGGAAACCTTCCGGCTGACCTGGAAAACTCCCGAGGATTGGCCGATTGACAGCAGCGGCAGAGAAGCACTAGAAGGCATTGAAGTGAAGCGAACCTTTGAGATCGTCACCAAGGCATCCTACCATTCGAGCTCCTCGCGCGGCTTCGTCTACCTGGATCCTGCGGAGCTTCATCAACCATTCCTGCGTTCCAAACGTCTGCAAAACGGATCTTGGAAAGGTGACCTGGTACGTCGCGGCCCGAGATATCGAAGCTGGAGAAGAGCTCGTTCTCTGCTGGCCATCCTTACAGGCGCAAGAGGCTGGGTTTCGCGTGCGACTGCAAGAAGTGCTACCTGGCGACGCTGCTGGACAAGGATCTCGCGGAGGTGCTACTACAGGGACTTCGCCGAGGCAAACTTCGAGTTCTGGCTCAAGGGGGAGGCCAACCAGATCGAGATGGTGAAGACGCTGGAGACAGTTCTCGCGAGCAGGCTCAAGGACGAGGAGGAGCGACAGTGCTTGCGAGCGATTCACTGGTCGCTCTACTCCTATTACCAGAGGCTGCAGAGTGGGGAGGCGATGGTGGTGCCTGGCGTCCCGGCGGCGGAGGTGGTGATGGAGGCCATGGAAAGGTTCACGACGGCCAGCGACGCAAATCTGGCATACTTGATTTCTCTGGCGGAGTTTGCACGGGACAAGGACGCGGCAAGGAGCGTGATGTGGGATAGCAAGCTTGGGAGACAGGAGGATCATCGCATCGTCGAGGCTTTTGTCGAGAGAGATCTGGAGATTCTAGGAGCTTGGGGGTGGGCTTGAGTTTCCCGTTTCTTCTTTTTCTTGATATGTTTTGCTTGATATGTTCGTGTGTGTGCGTCTGTTAGCTCGCGTTTTGTCATTGTCTTAGTGAGTCCTTTTTTACTTTCTTTTCATTTTTGTGTTTGTGTGCTTTTGTCGAGAGATGTCTAACGTTTACTTACAGGCAGAGAAAGTCTTCCAAGCATGTAAGCAAATATTTCTCTTTCGGTTCTTAGAGAACTCTCCTTTCTTTTTTTTGGTCTCAGGTGCTTGATCCGCCGCCACCTTTCTGATACACTCCATGAAGTGGAAGTGTATGTAGAAGGTCAAACGCATCGTCGTTCTCATGGAGAAGAATCGCCCCGAGCTCGACTCTATCGCCAGCCGCAACGCCAACAGAATGGCCGTGTCTGCGCTCCGACGTCGGCCGGTTGCCCGTTGTTCCTGGTCATGTCCTTGGAACTCGCTTGTAGGCGTTGAAAGCTATCTTAGAGAAGCAGTAGTAGCGAGCTCCTCGGCGACCCGAGGTACTCCGTGACGATTTCGTCGATGGCTTCCATCGACAGCTCGAAGATGTTTGAGATCTTATGGGTGAGAGTTTGGCGGCGATGATCCTGGATGCGTCGCCAACTTTCTGACTTTGCTGCCTCGAGTCCGGGATGGTGCTGTTTGGCAGCGCGGGATCGCTCCAGACTTCAGTGTTCTCATCGATTGGCTGCTGGTTTTTGCAGTGCAGGAGTTAGAGAAAGATCTTTGGAGGATTCAAGCTCGACAACATCCAACCGGCTTGATCTCACGTTGAAGATGCGGGCGATGGGCGCATGAGCGAGATCAAACTCTCGGTTAGCTTTCGAACTGCGAGGTAATTCGTGTCATTCACGGCTTCGGAGTTCCCAAGTTTGTAATAACTTCCAAGCCATGCACCCAAGCATAGATGTTGAGTCATTTGCCCAATATGTCAAAACTGTAAAATTAATTAATGCTTATTCTTGGCCAGGTTCAGTCTCATCTTGCACACAGGTGAAATGCAGTTTTTCAAAATATTCTCTTCTTTTTGCTTAATAGGAGTTTAATTAACACTTGTTTTTTATATTAAGTTTTAATAATTATAGAGAATCATTTAAATAAATTAATACAAATTAATTATACTCTTACCAGTAATCGTTGCAGGAGCAAACACCATCCTCAAAGTGATGGAACCGGTTGCAATCCCTCACCACAATCCTTCTGCCGCAAATCCTCGAGATAAACTTGATGGCGGTGTGGCAGTCCGAGCACACTCTCAAGTTCTTCACCACTCGCAGCTCCGTCCCCGGCCGAGTGGTGACGAGCCCCAGCCCAATCGCCAGCTTCTCGCTGTGGTACGTGAGCAAATTCTCCTTCTCCTCCTCCTCCAGATCGTAGCTCACAAGCCTCGTGTCACGAACGTAGCCAGCTTCCACCATCTTCCTCTGGATTTGCATCAGCTCGTAGAGGATGTCCCGGTGTCTGGGATGCGAGACTTCGCCAGCTTTGAATTCGTGAACTCGATCGTGGACTTCGATATAGCTGCACCCGGCTTGCTTCTTGATCCCACGCTCCTCCATTGCCTTCCTCACGATTCTCATCTCGTTCACCCGCTTGGCCTCTGCGTAGATGCTGGAGAGCAGTGCGTAAGGAGCTGAAGTATCCGGATCAGTGGCAAGGAAAGACTTTCCTACCCGAGCTCCTCGCTTGAGATCACCTTGCATCTTGCAAGCGGCCAGCAGCGTCAGCCAGGCAGATCCGTGAGGCTCGTAAGGCATCGTCTCGACGAGTTCTTCAGCGGCACCCAGTCGACCGGAGCGGCAGAGAAGATCCACCAGGCAGACGTAGTGATCCAGTCCTGGAACCAGGGCGTAGTCTCCAACCATGTCTACCAGATGGCCCCTGGCATCGCGAAGAAGTCCAGCGTGAGCACACACTGAGAGAATGCTTACGAAAGTTAGCTCGTCGGGAGTTTGGCCGTCGAGGTTCATCGCCAGGAACGTCTCCAGCGCCTCGGTTCCGTGACCATTGTGAGCAAACGCCGAGATCATGATCGACCACGAGACCGCGTCCCTCTGGAGCATCTCCTGGAAAGCCGAGCTCGACTCCTCAACGCTGCCGCATCGCCCAAACATGTTGACGATCCCGTTCTGCAAGACAATGTCCCACTTTAGAGCGCTATTCATGATGCTCGAGTGGAGAACTCGGCCTTCTCGCAGCGCAGAGAGCTTACCGCACGCGTCGACAGCGCTCATGAAAGTAAATCTCGTCGGCTTGTAGCCCTCCACGTCCATCTTCTTGAAGAGCTCCATGGAAGTCCTGTGCTGGTTGCTCTGCGCGTAAGCTCCCACAAGAGTGCTCCACGAGACATCGTCTCGGTCTCTCATCCTGTCGAAGATGGCCTGGACCTGGTGTGGATCGCCGCTTTGGCAGTAGGCCGCCATCAAGACGTTCCAAGTCACGGTGCTCGGCCGGGGAGCAACGTCAAAGAGCTTCTGTGCCTCATCGAGAAAGCCATTGTGCGCATAGACCGAGATCATCGTCGTCCAAGTCACAGTGTTCCTTTGGATGGCGCTGCTGTTGAAAATCTCTCGGGACTTCGCCACCATCCGGCACTTGCCAAAGAAGTTGATGAGCGCCGTCGCCACGGCCGTGTCGGTCTCGCAGTCGTGCTCCAGCACCTCTTCGTGGATCGCCGAGCCCTCTGGCAGAGCTCCCAGATTCCCAGCCGCGTCCAGAGCGCTCACAAAGGTCACCTTGTTCGGCTGGAACCCCTGGAGATCCATGGCCTTGAAGAGCTTGAGTGCCTCTTTGGAGAAGGCGTTCTGCGCATACCCGGCAATCATCGAGTTCCAGGAGACGATGTTCTTCTCTGGAATCGTGTCGAAGAGCTTCCTGGATTCATAGAGGTCGCCGTGCTGAGCGTAGGCCGCGATCATAGAGTTCCAAGACACCACATTCGTCTCTGGCACTCGCTGGAACACCGATGCCGCCTCGAGCAAATGCCCGTTTTGGGCGTATGCCGCGATCATCACGTTCCCGGAGAAGACATTGCGGCTGTCGATGCGATCGAACGCCTTCTTGGCCCGATCGACGTCGCCGCAGCTGCCATACATGGTGATCAGGGTATTTCCCAGGAATGTGTAGCCATCGAACCTCCTCCTCGCAATCTCCTCGTGGAGGAGCTGCCCGAGATCCAGAGCCCTGGCGCTCGCGCATTGCCGGAGGAGCGATGCGTAGGTCTCGAGATCTGGCTTGCTGCTGGGATCGTCGCCGCTGTTCTTGCAAAGATTGACAATCGGCGCCTTGAGCAAGCCTGGATCGCCTACCTTGTCGGAAAGCTTGAGAATCTCTGCTGTCCTGCTTGGAATCCTCCACAGCGAAGCGCTCAATCCCGCGGGCATGAATGGCACCACATTAGGGTTTATAGCCTAGATAGCGCTATTCTCTCCTTTCTAGCCATAGATCGATCATGGCGGCCGCGAAGACCACCGGGAGATTCTCCGCGCAGCTCAAGAAGATCTGGAACAGCGAGGTCGGCCCCAAGACGACGCATTTCTGGGGTCCCATCGCGAATTGGGGCTTCGTCGCGGCTGTGAGTGGATTTCTTCTCCTAGATTCTCGAGGTTTTTGGGGAATTGCTTCTCAGGGATTGCGCAATCGCAGGGTCTGGCCGATCTAAGCAAGCCGCCGGAGCTCATGTCTGGAAATATGACCTGCGGTGAGTGAATTTCGATGGATTATCTTTGCTTTCGATCGATCTCCAGAGGGAATTTCTTGCAGCGATGTGCATCTACTCGGCATTGTTCATGCGATTCTCCATGGCGATCAAGCCCAAGAACTACTTGCTCTTTGGCTGCCACGCCGCCAATGAGACCGTCCAGCTCTATCATCTCTCGAGAATCTACAAGTACCAGTTAAGCTCTCTCTCTCTCTCGATTCTCTCGCTCGCGATCTCCTCTCTCACACTGTGTTCTTCCCAGCTCCTCGCGAAAGGAGGAAGAAGAGGCAGCCAAAAGCGTGGAAGAAGAAAAGGTCGTTCGTTAGCGTTAAACATGATTTGGTCATAATCACGGATTATTCCTTTAAAAATGTTTTTAGGGCCACGTCATCTACTAGGTTTTACCACGTCACGCATGTCATAGCGTGCTAGGAAAAACGCGTTCTCCACGATTGGGGCGAGAATACGCTCGTCGCGAAGGAATAGAAATGGTCATTCACGATAAGTCCGAGAGGAGGAGGAGATCGAGCTGCCGCCGGTCAAGATCCACGCTCAACACCGCGTAATCCTTCTCTCGAGCGCGCCAGGTGAGCGAATCGATCCAATCCAGCTCTAGCGCCGCGCGCTCGAGAAATCGATCGATCGTTATCAGGTCAGGGGAGAATGGGGAATTGCCTGGGACACGGATCCAGGGAAAATATCCACCATCACAGGCGCGATGACAAGAACAGCGCCTACGATTTCCCTCCCAAGGCCAACAATGCCGCCACTGTCACGGCCGCCCCGGCGCAGCCACCGCCGCCCTCCAACAAAAACAATCGCGAGCAGCCGACGAGCTCTCCGCTGCCACAGCCCAAGCCGAGCAGCCGTCACGCGCCGACGATCCACTCCATCACCGCCAATGTGCTGGGAAAGCCGCTCGAGGACGTGAGAGCCATGTACGTCCTGGGCCGGGAGCTCGGGCGTGGCCAGTTTGGGGTCACACACCTCTGCACGGACAGGGCCTCCGGGAAGACTTACGCTTGCAAGACCATCGCCAAGAGGAAGCTTATCTCCAAGGCCGATGTGGAGGACGTGAAGAGGGAGGTCCAGATCATGCACCACCTTAGAGGCAACGAGAACATCGTGGAGCTTCGAGGATCGTACGAGGACAAGCACTCGGTCCACTTGGTGATGGAGCTTTGCGAGGGTGGAGAGCTTTTCGACCGGATCATCGCCAGGGGACACTACAGCGAGAGAGCTGCCGCTGCGCTGTGCCGGACGATCGTGAGGGTGGTGTATATATGCCACTCGCTCGGGGTGATGCACCGGGATCTCAAGCCCGAGAACTTTCTCCTGGCGGACAAGAGCGAGAGTGCTCCTCTCAAGGCTACGGATTTTGGACTCTCGGTGTTCTTCAAGCATGGTAAGTGCTGCATTTTTCTCTTTCAATTGCTGGCAATGCGTCTTTGCGTCTTTGTTTGCTTTGTCTTGATTTGTTTGTTTTTCTTTCTGGCACTGTCATTCGCTTCGGTTTTGCTTGTTTTGCTGTTTGTTTTCGTGTTGCTTTTGGAGTCTTTGGCTTAAAGTTTTGGTTTTTTAGGTGACAAGTTCACGGATCTGGTTGGAAGCGCTTACTACGTAGCTCCGGAAGTTCTTCGCCGCAACTACGGACCCGAGGCCGACGTGTGGAGCGCTGGAGTGATCTTGTACATTCTTTTGTCCGGAGTACCACCGTTCTGGGCAGGTGAGTGTTCGATGCAGTAATTAATGTCTGAGACTCGGCTGTATTTGCCTATCCAATGGCAGAAAGTGAGCAGGGAATTTTCGATGCTGTCCTTCGCGGCCAAGTGGACTTTGTAAGTGATCCATGGCCGTCGATTTCGTCATCGGCCAAGGATTTGGTGAAGAAAATGTTGACGCAAGATGTGAAGAAAAGGGTCACTGCGGCAGAAGTTCTCAGTAAGTTTGATTATATCGACCCTTGGATGTTTCTTAACTGACTTTGGATATTTCCAGGCCATCCTTGGGTGAGAGAAGATGGTGATGCTCCAGATGCACCACTTGACAATGCGGTATTGTCGAGGATGAAGCAGTTCACCGCAATGAACAAGCTAAAGAAACTGGCGCTCAAGGTAACTTGGCATATTTTTATTGCTCACTTTCGATACTCACACAACTCAAACCAGGTCATTGCAGCAAGCCTCTCGGAAGAAGAGATCACAGGACTCAAGGAAATGTTTAGCAGCATGGACACAGACGGCAGTGGCACCATTACATTCGATGAGCTCAAAGCTGGTCTTGAAAGGCTAGGATCCAACCTCAGGGATGCGGAAATCCGCCAGATCATGAACGCTGTAGGCTATAAGACTCTCGTTTCTCTTCAGACCATTCTTACATTTGTCTTTCCTGTTTCAAGGCCGATGTCGATGGAAACGGGACGATTGACTATCTCGAATTCATCACAGCCACAATGCAGATGAACAAGATGCAAAAGGAAGATCACTTATATTCCGCGTTTCAATTCTTTGACAACGACAATAGCGGGTACGCGCTTTCTTTCCTTAAGCTTTTCATGGATGACTGGCTTCTTCGTGACAGCTACATCACGATGGAGGAGCTCGAAGAAGCTCTAGTTAAATACGGTATGGGCGACCATGAAACAATGAAGGAAATTCTTAAAGAAGTGGACACAGACAACGTAAGCATTTACTCTTACAGAGATCTAAATCTAATGCCTGGCCTGCTTAACAGGATGGAAAGATTAACTACGACGAGTTTGTAGCCATGATGACTAAAGGAGCTGCGCCAAGCAGCGAGCAACAAAACAATAGAAGAAAAGGCCAGGAACTTCCCGTGGGAGCTCCAAGGCACAGGAAATAAGTACCTGTGAGAAAAACTTGGGTTCGCTTTTATTTTCTTTTTGCCTTGAGCTTTGGATTTTTGCTAATCAAAATAAGTCGCAGAGAGAAATTACAGTCATCGTACTTGTTACGATCGATCGATCGATCGATTCAAGGTGCTGCTGCGTCGGCAGGCTTTTCCTCTACTGGATTCTTCCTATACTCGGGTTTAAGCTCGTAAGTCCCTTGGTTGGTTCCCCTCTTGTTGTAAGTGCAGAGATCGTTGAGAATCTCCTTCAGGAAGGCCTGAGAAAGAAGAGCTCGTGAAAACGATATCACAGTAACGAAGAGAAGAGTTTGCTTTTACGTACCACAGGCTGGTCGGTTCTCTGGACGAGCTGCTTCAAAGCCCAGTTGGCCTGTTGCTCGAAGAGCTTGAAGACATGGTCTTCCAATTCGCCCCTCTCTCTCCTCGTTCTCTTGCCGTCATTGTTCTTGGCATTGACAGGCGCTTTTCTCTTGGCAGCATCCTTCAAAATAAAAAGTAAAGAGATTGATTTTCGTATAACTTCTCATAGTTTGTGGGTGGATTACCTTGGATGACTGCAACATAATCGTCGGTGGAAGAGCTGGTCTCATCAGGTTTCCACGATCGTCTTTCAAGACCTGGATGGATCAAAGAAACACTGTATTGTATCAGTCCCCATTGCGAGCTTCACTTACCTGTATCGTTCTCGTTTTCATGTTAAACTTTCGATCCCTCTCTCGGCAGAGCTGCCTGTACTCCTCGCGAGCTTTGCTGTTTGGTTTGATATCAAACTTTCGCTCGACTTTACCCTCCACGGCAAGCCTCCCTGCCATGGCAGAAAGAAAAAAAACACGGCGTCAATCAGCTCGTTCTCTGCAGATAATAAAACGCAATGCATTCTAATGCACACGAAGGAACGATCAAACAAAACTAAGAGAGAAAATCCGCGCACCCTGTGTGTCGGAAAAGATGTGCGTTGGCACGACATCTTTCTGGAGATTGAGGCTATAAGCTTTGATGTCATCTGGCCCCGAAAGTTCCATTGTGAACTTAAAACAGCAAAGAAGAAGAGAAAAAATTTCAGCAGGGAGAGCAAATTCTCTACGCCGAGCAAAGGAGCGCAGCGCTCACCTCTAGTGCGGCCTCCGGGTCTGGATTGAGAGGATCGAATGTGCAAGTGACTTTGGCGAGCGTCGGATCCGCTGGCCCCGCGCCAGCGGCAACGCTCTTGCCGCTGGAATCTTGCGCGTTCCACGCCGTGGCAACGATCGCTGGGAGCTTGAGCAGCCATACCTGACCCTCGGCCTGCGCGACATCGAGCGGGACGCTCCCATCGTCTGCTCCAGACATCTCTCCTTCCTTTTATGCCCTAATATAATTTATGCTAATAAAACGATTAGATTAACCTGTTTTATATGGATCCAACTTTGAGTTTATGGGAGCCACAAAAACGGACTTCCACCAAATGTGAGTGTTAACATAACGCAAAGCTTGTTGCAGTCCTGAGTCAATCTTTAATACACCGGCACTGAAATTGCGATCCCCACCCCCCCCAAAATAAATTTTAAAATCTTTTAGAACAATTATATCATTATAAAAGAAGTATTTAAAAATATTCTTTAATCAATGTTTGCTCTAATGGAGAAGCTTCTCCAATCTTCCCACTCTCGATTTTGGCAAACTTATTATACTTGATCACGTTATTGATAAAGGCATTTTATCCACATATATTCTAGGAAGCTACACTTCATTCAACCTTTGTAGCTCCATAAGTGTTGAATACTTTCACTATGGAAGAAACTTTTGTGCAATAGAAATTAGTCTTGAGTAAGTTAATCAGCACTTCTCTAGAACCTTTAAATGTTGTTGAGTTATAGTAGCAATGGAAGCTTGAACTCCATCTCTGACCTCAGCTTTACAAATGGAGTGTATGACATGTATATACTCTTTGGTCTCAGCATGAGCATGGAAGCTAGAAGTCTTTATGTTAGTTGAATTAGATAAAGCAAAGACTTCTGAATTGCTTGCTGGATGTATAAAGATTTATAAATAGAATTAGAATAAAGTTACCTTTTTCCTCGTCAAAAACTACCACCATTTCTTTTTCCATTCTGATAACATTTCTTCATCCATCTCATCTTCTCTTCAGTTTAAATCCCCTAGTAGGCTCTCAACCCTGCCTGCTTGCGTTGCCCTTATCACCTTGCCGAATTGGCAATTTCTCAATGCTTACACATCATGCATATTACCTGTTTTAACTAATCCCAACCCTAAACATGAAATTGTCCTACAAAGGCACCTAGGACATAATGGTACATGAAACCAGCTGATACATTATATGTTGGAAAACTCAAACATTCTAAAATTTGATATAGTTTTGGAGGAAATAAAAGTAGGTTTGCTAAAATATATATTATTGTATTAAACTAAAATTAAACCAGAAATAAATATTTCTATAAACAGAAATGTTAAAAATTTCAGAATATCAAAGAATATCCTTAAATATATGAATAAGATACCAGTTTGCCCTAAAAATGGGGAAGCTCCTCCCAGTAAAGCGCAATGTCCCCCGGGCCTCGATTTTGGGCATTCTTGAGAGGTTTGGAGATGGATTTGTCGTCCAGGAGGAGCTGCAAGATCGGGCGGAGGCCCGGCCACTCGAGCAGCGCCTCCAGCTTCTCAAGGACACGCTTCGGATCAAGAGAACAGTGGCTCTGCTCGAGCGATGGGAGCTTCAAGCGCTGGATCCTCTGCTGTATCGCGCGTTCATGAGGCTGTGCGCCAGATCAAAGGCGCTGGAGGAGGGCCAGCGGATTCACGCGCATCTAGCTTCTCGCGGCTACTCTGGTCACCGATTCCTGGCCAGCGAGCTCGTGATCATGTATGGGAGATGCGAGCGCCTGGACCTTGCCAAGATCGCTTTCGAGAGCATCAAGGATCCCGACACGTGGTCCTACAATTGCTTGCTCGCGGCGCTGACGAGCAACGGGCATCTCCACCCGGCGATCGAGCTGTTCGAGCGCATTCCAGATCGGGATATTGTCTCTTGGAACACCATGCTCCAGGCGTTCGTGAGGCTAGGGTTCTTCCAAGAAGCGCGGGATCTCTTCCTCGAGATGCCGGACCGCAATGCCGTGTCATGGACGATCATGCTCACGGCGTACGCGCGGAACCAGCGGCTTGACGAAGCCATGGAGTTCCTGGATGCGATGCCGGATAGGAATGCCGTGTCTTGGAATGTGATGATCGCGGCTTTCGGCCACAGCGGCGATGGGAATCTCGACATGCCGATTGAGATTTTCAGGATGATGCTGCTCGATGGAGTTCCTCCAGTGATCGGTACGTTCGTCACGATTTTCGGTGTTCTTGGATTGCTGATGGATGTGAAGCTTGGCAGCGAGATCCATGGTCTTGTTCTTGAGAGGGGCCTCGGCGCCAACCTCCATGTCATGAACGCGGTGCTTAGAATGTACACGGCGTGCCAGAGCTTGGAAGATTGCGAGAGAACGCTGGAATCTATGGAAGCCAGGGACACGGTAACTTGGAGCTTGATGATCACTGCTTACTCCCGCGATGGAGATATTGGCAGAGCTGTGAGAGTGTTCCAGGAGATGGCGTCTAGAGACGAGATTGCAGTGAGCTCCATGGTCGTGGCGTATGCCCAGCACGGGTATCTGGATCAAGCCCGGATTCTCTTTGAGGATTTGCCAGAGAAAGAACACCAAGTGAGCGGTGAGTTGATCAGAGCCTATGGTGCTGCTGGTGATCTCGTTGGTGCTGAGGCCTTGTTTGATTCTTTGCAGCATCGCGACGAGCGCTCCTGGAACTCTATGGTTTTTGCGTATGCTCGGTGCGGGCATGCTGGAGATAGCATCACTTTCCTCGCCGCGATGGTGCTCGAAGGATTCCAGCCTAGCGACGAAGCTCTCACTGCGATTTTCCGAGCGTGCTCCACCAGCGCGGAAGGATTCTCTCGAGGTAAACTCGTCTATCGAGAACTTTGCAGAGATTTACTCTCCAGTGCTCCAATCCAGGCAGAAGCTCTCGGGATGTTCTCGGCGCAGGGAAGTCTTGCGGAGACGTGCTCGGTGTTTTCGGAGATGAGTGCTCGAAGCACTGCTGCCTGGAACATTATCATCGCCAGATACGCTCGCGAAAGGTTGCAAACTTCGATGATCTTCCATCTCATGAACAGGGAGGGATTTTTACCCGACGATTCAACGTTTCTCAGCGTTCTTCCGCGGAAAAGTCCCGAAGAGTGTGGAAAAATCCTTGCCTTGATGGTCGAGAGCTTTAACATCGAGCCAAGGCTGGAACACTACGCTTGTCTTGCGGACTCGCTACGATATGCCGGTGATGCCAAAGATGCCCAAGAGGTGCTACGAAGATACCAGGTACGTCAGCCCTAATGCCACGATCTCTTAGGTTTTGCTCTTTCCTTTTCCTTCCTCTTTAGGCGCAACGATGAGTTTTCTCTTTGGGAAGAAGAAGACGCCAGCAGGTGGGTGATGGTTGTTTGAGTGGAATTTGAGCTCACGATGTGGCGGGGCAGAGCTGCTGCGCGAAAACAAGCGCATGCTGGATAAATCGATCCGGGAGATCGAGAGGGAGCGGCAGAATCTCCAGACTCAAGAGAAGAAGCTGATTGCCGAGATCAAGAAGACTGCAAAGCAAGGGCAGATGGTATGTGAATTTGCGAGAGTTTTTTCCTTGGCGGACGCGTTTTCATTCAAAGTTCCTTTTTTTGTTTGCCGCGTTTGTTTCTAGAGTGCTGTGAAGGTCATGGCGAAGGATTTGATCAGAACCCGGCACCAAATAACAAAGTTTTACGGACTTAAATCGCAGCTTCAAGGCGTGTCTCTCCGAATCCAGGTACTCGCTAAGTCGCACCGTATGTTTTTCTTCTATAAAGGAGGATTTTTTACAGACACTGAAATCGACGCAAGCTATGGCGGATGCAATGAAAGGCGTGACAAAGGCGATGTCACAGATGAACAAGCAGCTGAATCTACCGGCTCTCCAGAAGATCATGCGTGAATTCGAGCTCCAGAACGAGAAGATGGAGTTCACTTCGGAGCTCATTGACGACGCGTTCGAGGAGGCGTTTGAAGGGGACGAGGAGGAGGAAGAAACCGAAGAGCTGGTGAGCCAGGTCCTGGACGAGATTGGCATCGATCTGGATCAACAGGTACCTTACTCACCTCTCGCAGCTCAGAGCAAGTCTCTCATCTCTGGATGAAATTTTCTCGCAGCTTGTTCGTGCTCCTGCGAATTCCACCGCTGCTCCAGTGGAAACTTCGGCTCCAGGAAGAGTAGCCCAGCCCACTGGAGCGTCCGGAGACGATGCTGGAATCGACAGTGATCTCCAAGCTCGCCTGGATAATCTGCGAAGGCTATAAGATCACCTTATATTCTTTGGTGTACATACATATACTTTTACTACGACAATAAAATTTTGGTACGGACAAGGTGCGAAGTAGTACGGATCCCGCCACTAGGGTTTCTAGGGTTCTTGTTTGCCCATGGCGCTGGCGAATGCTAGCGCCAGAGGACCGCCGCGGCGCGCTGGGGGTGGATTGGCGATCGCCTGAGCTGCATTGCTACCGTCGTCGACATGGTGATCGCCTTCAAGCTCAACAAGAATGGATCGCGCTACATGCCCAAGCTGGAGAGGAAGGATCCGGCGGCAGCGTCGGCAATTTCGAGAGGCGGAGGCGATGGAGGCAGCAGCAACAATGGAACGAAGCTCAAGCGGGACGAGGTGAGGATTTTGCTTGGAATTTCCCCCCTTTGGTGCCAAGAGCCGGGTCTGATTATGGTAGATGTTGCGTGGGAAAAACCAGGGAAGCACGACGACTTCCGAGGGAGAGGATTCCCATTGTGGTAAGGAAATTTCTCTTTCTCTCTGACTCACTTCTCATTGTGCTGTTGCTTAGATAATTTTGATCCATCGTTTTCTGTGAATTTATTTCCTGATGGATTCTCGATTGGAAAGCCCACTGAGGACGGAAAGCCTCCTCCATTTGGATACGAGCTTCCAGAGCTTGTCTATCCATATGATCGCACAAGTGATAGCTTCCTAAGGGTATTGCCGATTTATTTATTTTTCTCTCAAGAGCTTTTCATGGAATTTTTTTGTGTACCAGGCAATTGATTGTGGATGGCTTCCCAGTGAAATGCTGGAAGACATTCCCTGCACATATATGGATGGCTGCGTTGCTTGCGAGGTCAGTCAGCCATCTTGGATTGGTTTTGGTGTTCTACTAACAAAACATTTTCCAGTTAAGGGATTATCGGGACAGTGTACCCTCGACTTTTGCAAGGCAGGAACTGATAAACTGGAAGCCAAAAGTGCATAAAGTCTTACTTCGTCCATCTACGGAGACAATTGTCAAGGACGTCGTCGCCATGAGCGATGAAACATGGTCTTACAGGGATCTTCTGGTACGCATTTGGTTGTTTGGAACATGATGATCACTTTGATGGTGCAGGAAGTGGAATCAAAAGTACTGAAAGCAGTGAAGCCATCTCTTTGTCTTGATCCTTCACCAGCGGTTGCTGCCAGAGCTCATGTTCATACATACAATCGGGTAGAGTTTTTGTTTCAAAATTGTCCTAGCATCCTCTTTACAAGTTTTGTCATTTTCTTGCAGCTGAAATTCAACATCGGCCTTGGATCTCGCCGTTATAGGACTTCTAAAACTGCACTGATGGATAGGCGTGTTCGTTTGGCCGCTACAAGGTCTTTGCTAAGACACGAAAGCTTTAAAAGCCCCGACAAAGTAGACACGCCTGCAGGGGAGACAAAGTCGGACCACTCTGTGGAAATCATTCAGGATCTGGCCGCCGGTGGCGTGCAATCGAAAATTACAAACGCTTCTCAGCCACCAGCGCCTCCACCTCTATTATACGACGTTCTTGGGAAGAGAGAAAGGGAGCCGGTCGTGAAGCTGGAAGCAAATAAGAAACCGAAACCTGCAGCCTTTGATTTCAAGAATGCCAGGAAAGATGACATGTTCAAGTGGAAGAGTGCAGCCTATCAGAACAAAGCAGCTGCGTCAAAAGCTACTGGAAACATGGCTTCGCCAAATGTGAACAGCCCGAGCACTCCAGTGAAAAGTCCAGGACCCGTCAAAATTGAGCAGCCTCATGTTTATCAGCCACAGCCACCTCAGGTTCCTCCAGTTCCGGCATCTGTTCCAGTTTCAGTTCCACTTTCGGCTCCTGTCGCTGCTCCAACTCCGGAAAGGGAGGCTTTGGATAGGCTTTCTCTTTTGGTTTCGTCCATTCAAAGGTGCCTTGCTTTTCCTTGTTTACTTAGTGGCACTAAGCCTGTTTTGCAGACACGGTTTGCATAAGAGGGAAAAGAAGGTTGATCAGCCTCCACAGCCATCGACGAAGACGCCTTCTTGGCAGTTGCTGTCTGTGGCACTGGCGGACACATCGGATGACTACCAAGAGCCTAAAGGGAAGAAAAGTCTGGCTAATTCTCTGGTGGCTGGTAATGTCAACGGAAAGAAAACTCGTTGTCTAATGTTTGAGCGGACGGAACGTTTTTACCAAAGTAAGTACCAAAGTAAGTTCATTTCCAGGTTTATGATCACCTGCTGATATAGTTTGTGGAGCAGTGCTGGGAGGTCAAACGTATCCAGTCATTGTACACACTACAAAGCTGAGGCTTCTACTTTGCGGGCGTGCCAAGGACCCCATGGTCGAAGCTGTTGTACAGATAGATGACGGCCAAGAAGATGACGTAAATAATGCCCAACTTCCATATACTGTTCTTCCAACAATACCTAACGCGGTAAGTTGCTATGGTTTCTTGAAATGAGACTGACCTCTACTTTTGTTTACAATGCAGGACATGGCAGACCTTTTTGCCAAGCAATACATAGATACGGTAACTATTTGTTTTCATTTTGGAGCCAAGTTCTGACTGTTAGATTGAAATATTAGCTCGAAAAGGAAGGTTTTGTACTGATGGACGACAATATACAAGCTCCGTCGGGTCCCCGTGGTTCCGCAACAATGACCGCAGCTATGGCTCGGCCCATGCCCGCTGGAGCGTCAACCTTTGGTCAGCAGCAGCTAGCTTCTCCACGGATGATGATGAGCCAGCAGATGGCTCAGATGCAGCAGCAGATGTCCGCAGGCGGAGCCATGGCAGCAGCTGCGAGAATGCCACCTCCAAACATGGCGGGCAACCGACTTGCATACAACTTGCCTCAGTCAACAGCCGCTAAACCACTGCAGCAAATCGACTCGCAGCTTGTAGCTCAGCAACAGCAGCAAATGCATTTGCAGCAACAGCAACAGTTCCAGCAGAGGCCGCAACTTATGAACCAGATCACGTCGCAGCTGCCAGGATCAATGATGCCGTACCAGCTCATTCGCAACAATCCCGCTCTACAACGGAAAGTTATGCTCCAGAACAGCATGGGGAGTATCGGGCCTGGACAAGCCAACCTCAACATGGTGGGGATGAATCCCATGAACAACGTGCCTGGCATGGGTGGGATTGGCAACATTGGCGCGGCTGGAATATCGGGACTGGGCATGGGACAGGTTCCAAACTTAATGAACCAGCAGCTCCGTCCGGGCAACATGACTCACGCTCAAGCACAGTATATGCAGCAAAAGCGCTTCGCGGCCGCGGGGAGAGCTCCTCGGCTCATGGGGAACAGCATGACCGCGGGCCTCGGTACGACGGGGGGATTGAATATGCTGGCATCACAGCGGGGGAACTTGGGTGTTATGCGAGGCGCTGTGCCGAGTCCGGGCATGGGACCTCCGAAAACGCCAGCTTCCAACATGGCTGCGCAGTATTATATGAACCAGCAGCTCCTACAACACCAGCAGCAGCAGCAACAGCAACAACAAGCCGCCGCACAACAGCAGCAGTTTAATCAGCAGCAGCAGCAGCTCCAACAGCAGACGCCACAACAGCAGCAGCAGCAGCAGCACTTGAATGCTCAGCAACTAAACACGCAGCAGCCACAGCAGCAGCAACAACAACAGCAGCAGCAGCAACAGCAGCAGCAGCAGCAGCAATTGACACAGATGACTTCCCAGCAACAGATGGCAGTGAATTCTCTACAACCAGTCGGACAGCCGCTAAACCATCCCAGTCCACAGCAGCAGCTGGCACAAGCGCAGCTCACGAGCGTTCCACAAGTAACAGGCCTTTCTCAACAGCATCTCATCAACCAGCAGCAGCAGCAGCTCCAGCAGCAGCTAACTCCCCAGCAGCAACAGCAACATTCCCAGCAGCAGCAGCAGCAGCAACTAAGTTCTCAAGCACAACTTAGCTCTCAAGCACAGGTTCTCAACGCCCTACTCTCCTCGCAAGTTGGGACGAACAGTGGTGGAGGAGGGGCCGCGTTCTCGGTTGGAACTCCACTGGCTGGAACTCCAGGGATGGTGGGAACTCCAGGCATGGTTGGAACTCCGACTCCTTCGAGCCCGCAAGTGAGCTCACAGACGATTGGATCCGCGGCTGGTGCTAGTGCTACGATCCCGAGCTCGCCGATGGAGATCAACCAAGTTCGAGCTTCTCCATCACCAGCGCAAACGTCGTCCTAGACAAGGAATTTTTTCTCTAACAGTGTTTCTCTACAGATAAACGTTTCCAACGATAGAAATAGACACGTTAAGTAACCCTTTTTTAGGGGCTTAGGGCTTGGCTATGGCGGACGATCGCGCGCTCTTGTGCTGCTCCTTCAACCAAGATCGCAGGTAGGGGGACTCTTGCGGGCGGATTTTCTCGGGATTTAGCTCTTGTCTTGCTTGGCAGCTGCTTCTCTGTTGGAACCAGCGAAGGATACAAGATTTTCAATTGCGACACTTGTAGTTGCGTCTACGAGAAACGTGAGGGAATGTTTTCTCTTTCGTTTATCTCCTGCTTGATTCTCGCTTGTTCTTCCAGTCGATGGAGCTGTGAATCTCATCGAGATGTTTTTCACGACGAGTCTCTTGGCTTTGGTTGGAGCTGGCAAACAGGCACTGGAAAAAAAAAAATTCCTTCTAATTTCTGGCATTAGCATGCGGTGATATTTGTTTCTTCTTTCTTGCAGCCTGAGCTATCGCCTCGAAGGCTCTTTATTTTAAACACAGCAACGCAAGTGAAGCGTGCAGTGGATTTCGTTTCATCGGTTCTGGCCGTGCGTTGGAACAAGAAACGGTGAGCAAAAGCATTTGTTCTGTCAAGATCTTCACAGTCCTTGCGCAGGATAGTTATTGTTTTGGATAGGAAGGTCCACATTAACGAGCTTCCTCACTTGAATTGCCTCCAGATCCTTGACACTGCTGAAAACAGGAAAGGTAGTTCCTTGTTCTCTTTTCTCATACTTGTTTTGACTAGTGCCATGAAAAGCTTGTTGCAGGCGTCTGTGCGTTTTCTTCCAACACAGAGAATTGCTACCTTGCATTACCAGCGAGCTCTACAACAGGGACGGTGTTTGTGTATGACACTCTACACTTGAACGCATTGGGCGAAGTTAGTGGCTTTCTGTGCATTGTTTTTGTTTGTTATTCTCATGAGAAACATCTCATTTCTGATCAGTTTCAAGCTCACAAATCGCCCCTGGCTGCCATGGCATTCACCCCAGACGGTTTGCTCCTCGCAACAGCATCAGATCATGGGACAGTAATTCGTGTCCATGTTATTCCGCAAGCAAGCAAGGTTTAGTTTTAGTTATCTCGTTTCTTACTTTCCTTAGTTTTCTCAAAACAGGCATTTACCTTTCGAAGAGGGAGCTACGCAGCTACGATATATTCATTGTCGTTTGGGCCGCAGTCTCTGTCTCCCCAGTTGCTGGCTGCCACGAGCTCATCAGGAACGCTACATGTTTTCAGGCTTTGCTCGCCTCCTGCAAGACAAGGGTAATTATGGTAGGCTTACAGAATCGAGCATTTCCTTCACTTTTGTGTTACTCACCCTTTTGTTTTTCTACTTTTGCTAGAACGAATAAGAGGGTCTCGGATCTTCTGGCGGCAGTGATCCCAGAAACTGTAAGCGACATTGTGGAACCGGATCTTCATTTTGCCACTGTGAGGCACGGCTTCAGTCCAGGAGTTAAAAGGTAAACGTTACCAACACTTTGTCATAATACATCACTAAGTTCGTGCTTTTCTTTCGTTTTTTACTTGATACAGTATTTGTGCAATAGCAGCACCACTAGAGGAAGAGTTACCATCTTCTTCATCAGCAGACAGGTATCAATTTAGAACTTATGGATGTTTAAGCTTTTATGATATTTAATTTTGCAGGGCACGAATCTTTGTGGTTACTTTGAATGGGTTTTTCAATGAATATCAGGTGAGTAGCACTCCAAATGGAGGAGTGTGTTCCTTGGAGCGTGAGTGTAGCCTCATGACAACTGGCTCTGATCAGATATCTGCACGCTTTGTCTGAATGTGAGAATGTTCTATTCTTTACACATGTACAATGTTATGCTCATTAAATTAAAAATTGTTAATTGCTTTACTATTTAAACTCTCAGAAAACTGAATTTAAACACTTCTCTGCATCAAATATAGAAAGAGTACATGGAATATAAAAATGGAATACAAAAATGTGCATATCAATTAGTTTAAAACTTTAGTTTATATTATACATAAGGATAAATGGTCCAAATTGATACCAATCTAATGGTTATTAAAATCCCACTATATTAATATTAATGTACGATCATTATACACTTCCCCTCCTTTGGGAAGGATGGAAGGTAATCAGGGTTTTTTAATTGACGGGCCAGGATCTTGAGAAGCATTAGGGGGAGGTATCAGTGGATTTATAAGTGGTACTAATTGTTTTTTATCCTTTTGTACGAAAAGTTTATTGCATATATATTGCATATATATAATTTTTAAAAGATCAGCTTATTGAACATCATATTGAACTTCATAAACTTTCACTCTAACTTCCCTTCCACTAGGCAAGAAGCCCTTTAAACAAATCACATACCATAAGATTAGGAAAATAGACTAACACTATATCATCCACTTTGTATTTTACAGGTAGATGATGATAGAATTTATAACATTGTTATTGTCCCATTTATTTGTGGCTCAAGTGTTCAATGTACTCTACTCGAATAAGTGGAAGAATGTTTATTAAATACTGATCCCAAAACTTAATATTGCTAGCTCGTGACAATCATGAAGGTAAACTTAACTCCATTAGTAATATTGGATCATATAACTATATAAGAGTTTATATGGTGAAGCACTAACAAAACTCTATACCCCTATGACATATATATATCAAAGAGATGGCAAATAACCATCTTAATCCGAATACTGAAAGTTCACATACTTCATGATTATCTTTTTTAAAGTTCAAATAAGTTATTCCATGAAACCATTTATCAATAGATGATAAGTATAGCCATAAATGCGAGACTGTTATCCGAAAGAATCCACTCCAAATAGAAATGCTGGAACACCACTCGATTAAGGAGAAAGTATCTAACAACAGTTGCAGACACACTAACAAAAGCATTGATATCCACCTAGCGAATCAAGTAGTCAAAAGCTAGCTACCCATAAAAAAGTCCCCATCAGATCAAATGCCACCAACTCAAACAAACACATTTGACTCCAACCATCCTTTTGCAACACAAGAGGGAGTATTACGAACTTAGCATTAAATGTATTACACACATGCTAAAGAGCATTTTGTCCCATCTCCAACCAATGGAAAGACATATGCAACTTTTTAGTCACATTATCTCATATACCTGCCTAAAATAGGATAATCATAGTAAGTATGGAGAAAATGTAGAATAAGGATCAAAGGCACCACCAACTGTAAATGATCATTAGGATCCATCCTCACAAAAAAAAAAAAGGTCATCCTTAAGATGATATTGAGAATATAAATGCCGAAATGGCAAGTTATCAGCAAGTGATGCAAAATTCTTAAACCCATCACCAAGCCTTTGGATCCATGGCTTAATTTTTTGAGCCTCATGAACTTCGTCAAAAGAAGGTAAATTTTGTTCTAGACATTGTGGATATCGAACATCAAGTATAGCAACTACTGATGGCATGCAATCCTCATCTAGAAAATTCAAAAATATTAGAATAATAGGCTTCTTAGAAACATGATAAAAAAGCAAAGAAGGAAGAGGAGTTCAAGAAAAGATGTCAACATCAATTATAGAATTTCTCAGATAATTGTAGCATACGTGGTTTTTACCCTTTATCCTATGGTGAATTACCATAGGATAACACCATGAAGTGGAACCTAAACACTCCATGTGCCACATGTTATATGCCATGTGTCACATGCCACGTGTCCATAGGATAGTGGTGTGGAACCCGAGGTTTAGGGCCTTGGGCAACTGAACGAAGGAATGGTGCCAAACTCCCAAGCATAGAGCCAAGGGGTGACAAAACCAGACCATGGAACAACTCCCAAGCATACAACCCAAGGAGCAAAGGGACAAGAGCCCGGAGCGATTTGGAACAGTCCTGGAGCAACCAACATCCCAATGCTAGGATCAGCATACAAAACGGAGCCAAATGGAGTCTGACGCTATTTCGGCATATCGGTGGCTTAACGCAAGGACATGGGTATTCCACCAGCTAGCATGGTGTGGAACTTAGGCTTAAACCCAAGCCGGATGCAGAACAATGACATGCACGCAAGCGGGAGCTAGACTATGCCTCAAGTTGGTTGGCCATGCCCAACCTACCCACTATCCCTACTATACATTGGAACCCCCCATATCCCCCCCCCCTGAGGAACACACACTTTGGGCTTTCACCCCAAGCCTCCCTTAGTATTAGGAGTTAGTCTTTGGGAGAAGTTTGAAACATACTAAATATGGAATGTCTTTAGATTACGAATTTGGACATGGGACGAACACCATTGTGTTTAGGACAATCTCTACTTTTACTGCCACGACAACAGGAGGTCGGTATTGTTGGACTTGTTATCAGTCTCTACCTAAGCTAGTTGAAAAACTGGTCTTTGCATGTGCACTTGACCAAATGAGCATAAGGAAGGAATTCCTAAGTGTTTATTAGTCAAGCATACTTGACCTGGTTAGAAAAATTCATTTATTGACTTGCACTTACTAGTGTTAGGAACCCCTGCGATATTGAGATTGGTCCCTCAATGCTAGATGATAACTTACCATGTCTGCCAAACACCCTCGCTATCATGCCTTTTGTGTTAGTTTCATTTTGGTCCCAAATGCTATTTATGAAAAGTGTCCAAATTTGCTCATTTAGCATATCTACAAAAGAAAGAGTGTTTGTAAGGATTGGTCAACAAGTAACTTTTGATACTTGAAATTCATGACACTCTCCCCCCCTAAGGAAGATCGACGTCCTCATTGATGCATACTCGAGTTTAGAATACTGCCAAAGTGTAGCGCATGTGATCATGGGATGAGATTTGGATATACTGTCACCGTGGATCCTTGGAACCTTGGGGGATAAATGGGGATAAAATAGCCACTAAGGGCTCTCTCATCAAGCAATTGCCCCTTTTCCAGTTGGCTTAAGGGGAGAGAGATAAGGTGCGCTACAGTTGGTATCAGAGAAAATGGCACGGGTTCGATTCCCATTGATTAGTGGCTACCTAAAATATAATATACCCTTGAGCAAGGTATATTCCTACCCCTAAATTTGAAAAATCGTATGTATTGGGCATCCATGCGTATGTCCTTCCTCTTGTGTGGAGTATCCACAGACGAAGGTATCCACCGTGGGACTGCAGTACGGGTGGATGACTAGTTGCCTCACATGGAATAGCTAATCTACACAATGGAAGAATTGGTAGATTGAGTGCGGAAATGGAGGTGCTGGTTCCCCTTGGCTCAGTAGGGGTTGCTAGTCAATAGTCAATGAGGACATTGACATCTCTGAAGGGGGGGTGAGTGTAGCGCATGTGATCATGGGATGAGATTTGGATATACTGTCACCGTGGATCCTTGGAACCTTGGGGGATAAATGGGGATAAAATAGCCACTAAGGGCTCTCTCATCAAGCAATTGCCCCTTTTCCAGTTGGCTTAAGGGGAGAGAGATAAGGTGCGCTACACAAAGAAACAACTCCAGAAAAAGTTCATGGTATTCACACTATGTGATAAATGCACCAACTTAAATAAGTTAGGAGGCAACCTCTTTGTCTAACGCAGATGCGCTATCAACTCAGACACCTTCCAGCCATCGCCAACAAGGAAATGACCAACAGAGGTAGCCACCCTTGCTGCTCTGGGTGTCACCCAGCTTACCAAAGTGTGATACGCCTTTGCCCGCAAGGACATAGAGAGAAAAGCCAGAAGCCCCAACCCTCCTGAGCAAATAAACCAAACCCGTCGGTAAGGTTTAGATAAACTACTGTAAATAGGCAGTTAGAGTTGTTTACAAGGTCACACCCTTTTAACGGAATAAGGAACATCGACAAAGAGGCGGGTGATGTGACCAGTTGACAGTAGCTACCCCATGACTAAAAATTTCACCATGCACATGAAGTGTTGAAGCTAGTCTGCCTATACTAGCCCAAACTTAAAGATCAATAGATGGACAATATCAAAGTCATAGACAACGATATCTTAGAGTCTTAATTATCAGTGAATAAATCTTAGATCAGAACACAAAAGTATTCCAAGTAAGTTATCATCCGATAAACCAGTATGATAATATAGGAACCATCAAGATCATCATTTTTGGAAACATAGGATTCACCATCTAACAAAATTCAATAGCTAGTGTATTATTAAGGACACTCAATGACAAAACTTAACTATCAAAGATTGCAGATAAAATGTCAACAACTTACAAAAGATAACTTAAAGAACACAAGGTAACATTGACTGGCAAGCAAAATGCTCGCGAATGTATCACCCAAAAGAAATAACATTTAAATCTATTAGAACCAACTTGAGCAACAATCAATAGAACAGAATGAATGTGGTAAGACCAACAAACACTCGTTTATGCCAATTATTACACTAACCAATCTGAATAAATTCCGGTCAATAATACCAAGGAACTAGAGTTGCTCAAGCAAGCGTTAGCAACATCCTACCGATGTTTTAAACCCAAAAGACTAATCCAAAATAAACCACAAAGAACATATGGTATGCAAAAAGCCATAAGCCATAAAAAAAAACAATTAATTATCATAAAAGAACATCAATCATCCCACCAATGAAGAGATACATAATCATCATCGAAGAAAGAATTTACCATCCTGAAAAACGGCAAATCATTTTATACCAACAATAATTAAGCAAAACCTTTGACAAGGATAATCAACCATTCTAGATGATAGTCAATCATTATCAATGATTGCTAGATGCAAAAACTAATTTCAACATCGAAGCTAATAAGCCAAAATGTCTTTCCCAACAACTCTTAGCAAATGAAATAATAAGTATAAAACTCAAAGAACCAAAAACTTGAAGAAGTCTATAGCCAAGTCGTGCTTAGCAATAATCATAAGTCTCACATGAACTAACTTCAATGCTAA